ACTGGACATAAATGGATTGGCTGCTTTGCACATGTATTGCACTTGGTCGTTAGAGATGGCTTAAAAAGTGCTGGCTGAATTGAAAGTATCATCAAGAAATGTTCAAAGCTTGTTAACCTTGTCAAAAAGTCGACTATAGCCACAGATATTCTAAAAGATGAGAAGAGACTTCAGTGTGCCATAAGTACACGATGGAATTCTCAACTAAAAATGATCCGTTCAATTCTATCAATACCAGAAGTAAAATTAGATGAGCTAGAAGGAGCACTGCTCATGAAAGAAGTATTCTTGGTGATCTAGTTGAAATATTATTACCTTTTGAGGAAGCAACAGACCTTGTTCAAACAGAGCATATTCCTTCAACAGGATAAGTTCTAGCAAGTATCAAAGGTTTAAAATATCAAATAGAGAAGTTGGTTTTGAAACATAAATCTCCATTTGTGCATACCCTTAAACCTCAATTGAACGTCGAATGCCACCATTTGAAACTAACAAAACCTTCATCCTTGGAGCTATATTAGATCCTTGTTTTAAACTTCAATGGTGTGCTGATGATAATAAAAAACAGAGCTCTATCACACTTCTTAAAGGAGAAGTTGCAAAAGTAACAAGAACACAAGAACAGGTACAACCACCCCAACCTCTTGAGGAACCTCCACCTAAAAAAACCAAACAACTCTTTACCTTTATGCCAGAAATAAACACCTGTGATGCAAGTCACTTATCAAGTAGTGAAGTGGAAAAGTATTTAGAAAGCCAAAGGGAAATAATGGAAACAAATCCATTAGACTACTGGAAGGCCAATCAACTCAAGTACCCAGCCATGGCCATAGTAGCAAAACAGGTATTAGCAGTGCCTGCTTCTTCAGCAGCTGTTGAAAGACTCTTCAGTATAGCGGGCAAAGTTTTCACCCCTGAACATTGTAGACTAACTGAAAAACGTTTTACAGAATTAATGTTCATTAGATGTAATAGTAAAAAATAATCATTTTGATAATAATCACTCAGGAAATTAAGTGCTTGTGCTTGTACTTAAGCACTCAGGAAAGTACTTGTGCTTGTACTTAAGTACTTTCACTCAAAGAAGGGCTTGTGCTTGTACTGGTACTTTAAAAAAATTGAGTGCTTGTGCTTGTGCTTAAGTCCCAATTAATGTGCTTGACTCCATGTCTGAATGTCACTACTGTTGAATTGTAATGATAATGTTGATTTCATTTTGTCATGTATCATAGTGAAAAGTTTCATTTAAATAAACTACAAATGTATGCATAATCATAACTCGCGAAGGCTCACCTCGCTAATGTTTTACATCTGCCTAGTATCACTATTCTCTCTCTTTCTCTGTCTCATTTCCTTCTCTTTCCCTCTTTCATTTAATTTTGTTCTCTATAGTGTTTATGCTAAACTAGAAGAAAGCTGTATTTCAGTACTATACTTTTTTATCTAATTTTTGTATTAAAGCAGTCAAAATATTGACAGACCAAAATTTATTACTGATCTGACACAGTGTCAGATGGTTGCAAAATAGTTATATTTGTCTCTGCCTACATGTAACTGCATTTAGACATGGAAAAATTCCAAACATTATTTGGGCTGAAGCTATCACATTTGGTATTAATTTTGTTGCTAGAGAACAACACTTCAAAGCACATGTAGCTATTACTACTGAACCATTCCCTCCAATCTGGACAAGACTGCATGCATTTACAAGGCAAAAGTCAGTTCAAATCTTTCTAATGACACTGTTTGGGGGCTTATTGAAAAAAATCAGAAAGGCGGTGCTGAGGGCACGTGAAGCTTGCCACAATTTTGGCCACACTCCTTTTTATGGCGGCAAAACATTTTTCTTCATTTTTATGACGTACAGGTGGGGTCAAGATAATTTTCAAGCATACTGGAACTTCTGATCGTTCCTTAAAGCACTGGAACTGCTGAAATCAAAATCAGGAGGTTAGATAGCTGTGATAAGAGGCTTAGTAATGATGCATCAGTCCAGGACTTAAGCAATTTTTTATGAACCCAGCCATGAGGGGGTGCTCAAGCCCACTCAGCCTCCCCTTGGATATGCCACTGCTGTTATAGATGACTTTAAATCCCTAAGCTTGCACAATTGCACAATAAAAATAAATCACACTCATTTTGATAAAGCTTTTATCATCCCGAGACACCTGAAGAATATTATAAAAACAAGTACAGTTTAAACTATTAGATGTTAGAACAGGAGCCTGGTTAGAACTATCAACTATGATGTCAATTCAAGCAACAACGTCTTACAGGCTACAACCAGTTTCATTGAAACCCTCATAAACATAACAAATGGAAACGAAGAAGTTTTCTAGAGTCTAGGTACTCTACACAGGTTCATCCACTTTACATATGACAGAAAGAAGACAACAATGACATATCGCATGCATCACACTAATAAATATTATTTGGTTCTTGTTATATTTTGTCAAATAAATACAAAGTTTGATATTTTGTCAAATAAATGCAAAGTTTGATTTAAAGACAGATGAAGCTTACTAGGCCAACAAGTACTTAATGAGGAGCCATTCCTTGAGATTCTGGTAAACCATTCCAAACCTTTCTAAAATGTCATTGCTGCTCTTCATTGCTCTAACCCTAATCCAAAGTGAGTTGAAGAGAAGATCGAAACACTTGAAAAATGATAATTTCAATCACACTTAGATGGGGTTACAAATGACACTTTGATGACAAGTTTTGATTCAGTTTTAACTCTACCAGAAACTGACCATAATTTGTACATTTCAAGACATAGAAATTGTAATAAAGCCACCAAACACAAAGAGTTTATTGCTGAATATGAAAGTGATGTTAAATTCGAACAATTACACGTCTACATCGTACTGCTACCACTAGTTAATTTAAAACAGCAGAATTCCTGAAAAGAATTTGCTAAGTACATGTCACGTACAAGAATGTGACGTGATGACTGTGGTAAAATACAGAACTCTGGATATACTAGATATGTAGTGCTTTACTTTGGCTATTTCGCATCTGGCAATTTTTGTGTACATACACATACATTGACAGTTTAAATATAGGTAATTTTGCTTGCAAATCACTATAATACCAGGTTTCTTCAAAAATAATAATTTTTGCAAATAACTTGATCCAGAGGTTCACATAATTAATTTTCGCAAATTTCCAATATTCTGCAATACAGTACCATAATAAATTAATTTTCAAGGAATTTAATTGCATAAATTTTCTTAAACTTTGAGTAATTCATGAAATTTTTTATCCTAAAAACACTAAACAGCCTTTGTTCTTTTCAATGAAAGAAAGGTAGTTTTGGACATAACTAATTCAATGTTATACACTTTGCATCCTCTCCCAACTTTAATCTTGTTCCAAGTTGAGTGTCTCAAAGTTGTTAGTACCTGAACTATTACATGTTCCATTAAATTTCAGGGTCTATACACATATATATATCGTACATACATGTATATGACATCACTCAAAGGAGCCGCGAGGTCTATATCTAGAATATCTTGACCTTGCAGATATCGGACCTGTCACTAAGTAAACAATCTTAAAAATAAAATTTAATTCAATAGAATAACACAGAATTGATCAAGAGAAGTAATTTTAAGTCCATAGCTGTCATCCTCTGAGAAGATAAGATTTCCTAATTTTTAAAGGCCAACGATGAGCGGTCACCTCAGGAAAGTTGAGAAAAGTGCTGCAATTGAAGCTAGGAAGGGCTTTGTTCCCGAAAACACTACTCAAAGCACTGAGTGGGCTATGGGAAGTCGCTTGGAAAGCATCCCTTCCAGATTAAGGTCCTTTCCTCTCCTCTTCACTCACTCTCTTCAGTTTCCAACCAAATAGTCTTCTCAACACTCCTCAGTTGCCTAATTCTTTCTCTCTCCACCAGCCTCCTCCTTCCCTGTCCCCAGTAAAGCAGACCACTACTGTTCAGTAAAGAGGATGAGGAGAAAACGATTTCGACAGCTTCACTGCTTCGCCCCTTCCTTGTCAGCCATTGCATGAAACGTGCTTAATACGGGTATGTGCATGCTCAATATGGTTATTAACTAGTTAATTCCTTAAAATGGCATCATATAGATACGATACAAGTTTACATAGTATGGTAGACAGGTCTGTATCCGTTTTAGCAGACCCTTGGCCTCGGTTTCGGGTGTTACTGGTTAAATAGCAGCATTCAGCTTCACCTCGGGCTGCTATCCAACCAGTCACACCCTCAACCTCGGCCTCGGGTCTGCTCAAAACGGAGACCTGTCTACCATACTATATATATTATGCATTTTGCAGACATATTGCATACATGTCGCTACAGAATGGTGAGGAACTAATATTAGTGGTTTGACAATGTGCTACAAACTGCCAACATAAAATCTGTTATTTTAAACAAGCTTAATGAGTGAAAATCACATGTAGCCACTAAATTTCCAATAAAAAATCCACCAAATACAGGTTTTAAACAAAATGATAAAAATGTACATGTATGAGTCTGAAATTAACTGAGACACCAACTAATAATGATCTATATGCATCTTGAATGTCACTAAAATTGGACTTGGTTTGAAAATTAAAATTTTAACTATTAAATCCAATAAGGAAACCAGGACAAGCAAGCAAAATATTTTATACATGTAGCCTGCCAGTTTGTATTCATGGAACAAGAACATTAGCTAGAAAACCATGGAAGCTCATTAATTATAATTTTTAACTTTTTGAAAATTTGTATATAGCTTCATTCCTCCCTTTGTAATATCACAAAATTAATATCTAATTAGATTTTCATAGAAACAACCATAATTTATCACAGCGAGAATACGGCACACAAAAAGAGGTGTCGCTAAAGGACAAAATAAATAAATAAAATAAACTTATAAATTTTAAGGTTTTATTGTCATAGGGTTAGGGTGAATCGGATTTTGGATTTAGTTTATTTTGAGCCAATAACACACCTTTCCTTATATAATTCAAGATAATATACAAAATTGAAGTACTTTTTTAAGGTGAGATATCCTATACTTCAATTTATTGTTAGCCACCTCGAGCTGAGACAATTCTTCACCAAAGGCTCCAGATGTGGTTTCTGGCTGTTGATCCACATTAACCAAGCGAAGGTTGGACGAAACAATGCCTAGTTTCTCTTCCTAAAATAAGAGAAAAATTGTCAATAGACGCGGCACTGAGCCTTACAGTACTGTGTAGATTGTCAGCAATGTCCTCAAGAGACGCCATGTGGGAAAATGAATGAACTACGGAAAAAGGAGGTACCAAGGAGGGGCTGTAGGGCCGCATGCACCTCCTCCCATCCTTTGAGCATATCGCATATAGTGAGATTCGTGACGCCTAACTGACTTGTGCTTCCTTTCTGGAGTCTGAGCTCATTTCCTGGTTTATCTCTTAGTCTTTCACTGCTCTTTTTCCCTGTGTTTTTCTCTACTTCTCACTCTCTGACCGCCTGTTGTATAGTACATGGTACAGACTGTTCGTTGTGCTAACTAGTGGAGGACCGACAATAGGAAACTGCTAATTTGAGAAGAAGTTTAAATTGATTTCGATTTGTTCTCTTTCTCCTTTCACTTACCAAGTTCTAACGAAACATACTCAAACAACAATAATTAGTGACTTATCTCACGTATGTTGTAGTCTAGCGAGCCAATCAGGACTTTATTTTCCATTTGTCATTCTCAAAGGTATTGTAATCCAACATCTCTCCCGTCGACATGTCTATCTTCTCTTCGCCGGCTGTCAAGCGTCTCCTTGGTTGGAAGCAAGGTGACGAGGATGACAAGTGGGCTGAAAAAGCCATTGATTCTCTCGTTAAGAAGTTAAAGAAGCAAAAGGGTTCTTTGGAAGAGCTAGAACGTGCCCTTTCCCAAGCCAATCCACAGACACACTGCGTGACAATAGCCCGCAGTCTTGATGGTCGCTTGCAAGTGTCCCACAGAAAAGGGCTGCCACATGTTATATACTGTCGTGTGTGGAGATGGCCTGATCTACAAAATCATCACGAGCTGAAGCCACTTGATCATTGTGAGTTTGCCTATTCAAGAAATAAAGGAGAGGTATGCATCAACCCTTACCATTACAAGAGAGTTGAAACACCAGGTAATTTTTGTTTCATTTTCTTTCAATTTTACCTGACACTCACACAAATGCGATCGTTGGACCTGTCTCTTATTCGTGTTTTTGGTTCTGTTTACTTACTATTTGTTTTTTTTTTAGTTTTACCACCAGTTTTAGTACCACGTAACCCACAACTCATAGCAACACTTTATGAACCTGTGCCAAGCTATCTGGATAAACAACGTGTTGAAAACTCACCAGCTCATTACCATAACTTCGATTTACCAGGTTCCTAAATTTTGTACACTATTGTTTCAATGGTTATATTATACTTCATTAGTGTTTTGTGTGTGCAGACAGTACATTCACATGAATTACAATTAGCCTATTTATCATTTATAGTACATCATTTTTTCAGTGTGTATGACCTCATGGTTGGTTGTTATGGGCAGTTGTGTGTGTGTTCCTGATATATGAGCTAATGTTTATGTGTGGGGGCTAATCATTGTCCTTGTTATTATAAACATAATCAAATCATCACTTTACTATAATGTGATAATTATTTTTGTAGAGACTCCACCTCCAGCTTATTCTGAAACAGGATCTCCTTCACCATCAGAAGCTACAAGTATTGACCAATCTCTGTCTGCATCAAGTAAACTCATTTTATTGCTCAGTTATATTCTACAGTTTGTGCTTTTGGTTAATTTTATTTCTTGTTTGCTTATGTCATTCCCAATTTTTCCCTACCCTTACTTTCTCTTCTTGGTAACTAATAACTTATTAGATCATAATAATTTTTGTTTTGGCTTTAAAATGAGAATGACCCAATTCAGTTTAAAGTGGGAAAACTTTAGCTTCACCATAATTTTTGCTTGCAGGTATGGTCAGTTCTCCTCCTGATCTATCTCCATCTTCAATGGTGTCTCCATCACCAGGTATGCAATGCGTGTTCAATTAATAATTGCTACAACAAGTAGAGTGTGCATGACGTAAACCTCATTGCAAAACAGTAGAATGTATGATCATTGAAAGCAGCTGAATTTACTGTCTTGCTGATTTGAGTTCTTTTTTGTTACAGCTATAGGTTTTAGAGTTTTTCCTTTGCAAATGTATACATTGTAACATGTACTTCTTGTTTGTGCTTTATTTCACTTGCAAGGATTACAGTGTGCTATTCATTGAAAATTTAATAAATTAATTTTTACCATCATGTCCCTAAAGGTGGGTTCTCAATATGATGCATGCACGTCTGTCACGATCAGAAGTGCTGTATAAACCAATTGGACCATACGTCAATGCGTCAGATTAGAAAACATTTCTATTCTGACGCATTGACGTATACTCCCATTAGTTTATACAGCACTTCCAGTCATGACGCTAGCTCTTGAAAAACAATGTGTCATATTGAGAACCCACCTTAAGCCTTCTATGTACTGTGTAATAATATCAGTCAAAGTTAATGTGTAGTCATTGTTGAAATTTTTATTTATACATTACACTATAGATTCTGGAACTGTTGCCGTACAATACCAAGAACCTCCATATTGGTGTAGTATAGTTTACTATGAGTTGAACAATCGGGTAGGAGAAGTGTTTAAAGCATCGCTCAATGATGTCGTTGTAGATGGATTCACCGACCCCTCTACTACTGGAGATAGGTTTTGTTTAGGTCTACTCTCAAGCGTTCATCGTAATTCAACAATTGAAAACACTCGTCGCCACATCGGTAAAGGTGTTCACCTTGTGTACGTCAATGGCGAAGTTTTTGCAGAATGCCTCAGTGAAAATTCTATTTTTGTACAGAGTCGAAATTGTAATTCTTCCCATGGATTTCATCTAACTACAGTGTGTAAAATTCCTCCAGGCTGTAGCCTAAAAATATTCAATAATCAAGATTTTGCTAGCATGTTAGCTCAGTCTGTTCATCAAGGATTTGAATCAGTTTATGAACTTACCAAGATGTGTACGATAAGGCTTAGCTTTGTCAAGGGGTGGGGTGCTGAGTATCACAGACAAGATATAACTAGTACTCCTTGCTGGATTGAGATACATCTTCATGGTCCTCTCATGTGGCTTGACAAGGTCCTATCACAAATGGGTAGGCCTGGGGGAATATGTGATTCTAACTCTTGAACTTTTATATTTTTTCTAATTAATTCTTTCTCCCCAATTGTGAGGTGCTCTTCAGAGAAATCTGGTTATTAATTTAATTAAAACTTCTTAAATTTCTCAAAAATAATCTTATAGTACTTTGTCTGCAGAATAATTTTTCATTAGGACAGTTTTTTCTCTATTTAATTTTTGTACCATTCATATTATTTTTATTATTGTCATGGGATTGTTCCAAGTTAATTTCAACAGAGGAATTACGACAGAAATTTCAAGACGAAAGATGAATAATTGAATATGATAATTATTTTATTAATACATGAAGGCCACACCTTTTGTATGACGTCAGTCACGTGGTTCAGACATGCATTGTCATTGATTGTCAAGATTGTGGCAATTCGCTATCGTCTCTCTGGCAGGCTACATAGTTTAAAATATTTTTCTTGTCCTTGGCAGCGTCAGTTTTGACTCGTAACTTGCTTCACAGAATCCAAATGCGTCAGAAGATATGGGCAAAAAGAAAGGAAAAAAGCAAGACGAGAATTGGTACGACTAATTCTATATGTTTCACAGTCTTTTTGATTTAAGCAAATTTCTTCCATCACTCTTTAGGGGAGAAACAGCATCAGGAGGGCTGGATATTGCCTCGTCAGTAGATGCAGCAGTTGATTCACCTGTACAGTTGCAACAACAAAAAGGAGGAGGAGGAGGGAAGAAAGGGAAGAAGAAAAAGCAATTTGATGATGACGATATGTGAGTTACTATTATATACATGTACATATATATGTATATATATCGTTACATGACAAAGGATTGGGAACATTTGTTACATGTATATTTGTGTGTTCTGTCCACTATATCTTTCAATATAGTATAGGCTGAAACCACACACTCAACAATACCATACAAAGCAGGAATTGGGTTTGGTTTAAATAAATGTGTCTAATACTCTAATTTATTTAAATACATGTATTTGTCTAGACTTGCCAATTAAGACACATGCAAACCAACAACTACCGTATAGTGAGTGTATTTAGTCAGAGTTTAATTTTGTACTTTTCATTCTCATTCCTTGTGAAACGAATATTTTCTAAACTAAAAAGGCGTTTCCTCAATGCCACATGTACAAAATGGCTGCTCAGAATGAAAATTAAACAAACAAAAATTTCTAATCCTGCTTAGAGCAAATATTTTTTCAGACGAAATATACGTGTACAGTGTACCCGCTATACGGTAATCGGGCAAACAGATGTTTTCATCATGTACATATAGCCCCTCCCACTTCCAAAATAAAAATGTTAATAGCTTGACCATGCTCTTCTTTCATGTAAATGTAACTAATTTATTTACCTACTTAGTTGCTGCTACATGTACCTCTACTACAATGATCTTTGTGCTTCAATAAGGTCAGTAAGTTTCCAAGTGGTAAGAAGTAGTGAAAGTTTTGTATTGGAGACTGACTGAGACTGTTTTCTATGACACAAAGTCTTTGTCAAGTAGCTTTTGCCTAGGAAACTCCTTTAGATTTTTTTTGATTGCATGATATTCATGTGTGTGCAACTTTGCATGTCGTAAAACATCACTGTTGCACTCATTGATGTTGACTGGGAAAACCTTTTAAGAACTTTCCAGAGAACCTCGAGATTACAAAATTCTTGGTCGAACCTGTTTAGCAACTACATGTACGTACATGTATACATGTACCAAGTTCAAGCTGCTAAGAAATTTTATGGGTGTGTACTCAACTGAAGTTATTCATAGACAAGGAAAGTATTTTTTTAACTTTTCAAAATTAGGTATCCCGTGAACAGTTTCTAAAGATAATAAATTTAGCAATGAACATTTGAATTTGCCATCCTAAAAATGATAGTTATTTTAAGATTTTTGTTGTACTGTTGTTAGTGAATCAGAGCTTTTGGCAATTGCAAATGAAGACGGTCTTGATGTGACTGGCAATAAATCTGAGAAAGAGGCAGAATCTTCAAACAATGCTACTGAAATTTCTACTGTTGCTCCTGAACCTGTTTTACCACCTGCAAAGAAAAGTGGAAAGAAGAGCCGTAAGAAAGACAAAGACTGGTAGGTGATACATCATTATGTACATGTGCAGTGTATCTTAAAAATTACTCTGCAGCTGTTGTTTTCATTTGTAATTTTAATTAGATTAATCCACAACATTTTCAGCTTAAGCCTAGTAAACAAAGCATTTTAGATTCAGTAGATCTCTTGCATGATGGACTCCCTTCTTAAAAATCAAACTTTATAATTCACAATATGTGTACATGTATTTACTCATGTTCCTATTGTGATACATGTTTGTCATCTTTTAGGGATGATGATGACATTCTTCAAGAATTAGAACAATTAAGCTTGGAGAGTTCAATGGCACCAGACAGTACTGTACCTAGTGTTTCAGATCCAGTTTCTACGAGTGGCACAAGTAAATCATTGGAACAACATGTTTGTGATGATGAAGACACAAAGAAAACAGGCAAAAAGGGCAAGAAAGGGAAAAAGACCAGGTATAGTATTTTTATTGATTTCTTTATTATTCTTATCTTATTGCAGTGAGATTGACCAACTTGTCCAGGCTATTGAGAGCTCTGATGTCATTCCCAAAGCCACACCCACAGAGGCTTCGCCTACAATTACTGGTGAACAAGATTCTGCATCTCAGTTTCATATTAAAACAAAATCCGAAAAGAAGGAAGCAAAAAAAGAAAAAGAGAGGCGGCAGAAAGAGTTGAAGAAGCAGCCAAAGCTGGCTGATAGAAGCGATATAGAAACAATTGCATTGTCTACCAGCAATCCTCTTAATGATAAGCCTGCTTCTGTGGATGATTCTGCTACTACTGCTGCTACCTGTGATCCTGATCCTCCAAAACCATCATCACCTACTGTTGAACTGCCATCTGCCAATGATCCTTTGATTTCTAGTACTCAAACAATTGAGGATGATGTTGGTCAGGAAGAAGAAGATGACAAAGATGATGACAAAAAGAAAAAGAAAAAGAAGAAAAAGAAAGGAGAGAAGGAAGAAGACAAAAAAGCAGCAAAGGTATTCATCTCTTATATAATTTCATAATCACATTTCATTTGTAATTATACGTCTACATGCATAATATATATAATTTATTATGTTGATTTTGAAAGGAATTTCATTGTTTCGACTCTAAACCATTTGTATATGCTATGTATTAGCAATAATTACTTGTACATGTACAATGTGCATGTATAATATTGCCATTTAAGTGTCTAATCACTCACACTGAAGCACATTACGGTAATTGTTCTTATGTTCAAACTTGCAATATACAATATTGTGTACAAATGTAACTGCAGTGTTGATATGTTTAGCCATTAAATACATTAATTAGCTACAGTGTGTGCTTTTTTAGTTTAATATTGCAACTATAGGCTAAAAAAGTAAAGAGTGCAGTCCAGAAAATGAAAGAAGAGATTGAAGCTCTGCGGCAGGCACAGAGGAAGAGGGAGGAAGAAGAATTGGCGAAAGTGAGAGCAGCAGAAGAGGCAGAAAGGCTTCGTTTGGAGAAGATAAGACTGGAACAAGAAAAAAAGGAAAGAAAGAAACAAAAGGAAAAGGTTTATTTTGGCTTTAATATGTTACATGTATATGTATGCCTGCCATTTCAGGAGAAAAGAGAGAGGTTAAAGAAAGAAGGGAAGCTTCTTTCTAAGTCAGAGAAAGAGAGACGAGCAAGAGCTAATGTTCACTTGCAAGCACTTGTTGCTCAAGGTAAGTTTAGGTGGGACCTTCTGTCTAGTGTCACTAGAATATAAAATATTTTTTTTTAAATTAGCAGTTAGTTTCACTTGTTACTTTAGTATTGATTTGTTTATGTACATGTACATGTAGGTATGATAGTGCCACAAAAATCTGACAGTGGTGAGAAAAAGGGACCAGTAAGATATGGTTCCAAAATTAAGAAGCAGAAACGACCAGAGCAAGCTACTGTTTCCTCACCAGCTGATGAATCAGAATCTCTTATTGATGGTGAGATTACTGAGTATTATACATGTGGCTATAATTAATAATTACATTGTATTTTCATTTATGTAGAAGGAATATCTAGTGTGTCTGAGGGGGCCAGTGTCATAACTGAAGTAATTAACCACTGTATCTATTTTATCTTCTTGTTTGAGTGTATCATTTACATGTACTTGTTTGATGTTGTCAAGCTGTAATGTACATGTAGCTACATGTAAATGTACATTTAAAAAATTTTGCGTGTGCTTGTATGTATACAGTGCTGTATTAATATTTCATACTAAAATTTTAGGAAGAAGAGGATGTTAAGGAAAGTTGGGAAGATGCAGATGATGTGGAGGAGGAGGAAGAGGAGGATGTTAGTTAATACATTGCAATATGCATGTACTTTCACTTGTACACATTCTAGATTGTTGCTGATGATTTGCAAGGTGATGATGAGAAGTCACCTCCTGACACTCTCATTGCTATAACTGATCCTGTGCCTGAAGCCACCGAGTATGTGGCATCTTGTGATAAAGCTGTGGATAGTGATGACACTGTAGATGAGGATAGTGATAGTGACAGTACTAGTGAAGATGAGGAAGAGAGTGAAGATCTAACACCTTATGACAAAGCAAATAAACGAATTAAGGTACAGGGATCAGTTGTTAATATACCGTATAGCCAAAAAAATTCGTGAGGAATAAATTTTCGTATTTTCGTGATTACTGCTTGCATCACGAAAAATTAAACCCCCGAAAATAAATATTAATTGAGAGGCGTGGTTAACCACGCCTTAGACTAATAAACGTGCCCTCGTGTCAAGTCGTGTTCTCGGTCAAGCTGATGTCTCTGTTACTCTGTATTGCTATTTTAAGCATACTGCCTAGGTCAAAGATGATCTTCCCCATCTCTGGTGTCCACACTGATTTGTAGACATGGTGCCCCTTGACACAAGAGTCCGTCTCAAACCATGTTTTAATTAAATAAGGCGTGGTCATTATTATTATTATTATTAAAATAAAATCACGAAAATATTTATCACGGAATTTAAAATTTCTCCATAAATTTCATTATTCACGAAATTTTAAGCCTCGAAAATTTTTGGCTATACGGTATTTCTATTATGTTCATGTTGGCTTCCATACCTGTATGTGATTTGGTGCTTTCACTACCATTTGCCAAAACCTACCATTATGAACATTTATGCCCATACTCAGTGGGACATGGCCACAAATTTGCTAAATTAATCTAGTTCCAATCTTCAAAAAATTAGTAATATGCAAAAAAAATTTACAGTACATGTACTGCATGACCTTGTAAATAACCTTTTTCATAGGCCCTTACATTTGCAACTAAGTATACATTGTAGTTGTAACAGGACATGTAATTGAGGTTTAAGCCTCAACAAAATGTACATTGTAATTTGAATACATTACTGACTCAATGCAAACACAATGTGTTCTTGTACATGTACATGCCAGTTTAATAATGTTCACATGTAGTAGAACTCTCAGTTTCTACATGTACCACATGCACATGTGTGTTTTTGTCAAAAAAGACTTTACAGTTGTACATGTATGTCAAATTAAAGTTGTATATTTTTGGGTATTTGCATGAATTTATTTTCTTATGGCATAATAAGATTTGAGTTGACTTCTACAAGGAGTGTGTTACACGTACGTGTAGGTTGTGTTCATATTTGACCCCAGGCCTAATACAAATACATATTCATGTGATATTTTTTTTCTTTTAATGTGACATTTACTTTATGCACATGTACATGTACATGTACATGCATGCATGCGCTTTTTAGTAGGTAGGTACATGTACATGTATATTTGATTTTGTACTGATGAAATACATGTATGTTTCTGTATTCCTATTTTTCTACACTATGATAACTTTAGGAAAGACGCTCCCGTTACCAAAACGAAAGGTCACCTGATCTTTTAAGGTCACCAGTTGTTTGTGTTCTTGGTCATGTTGATACTGGAAAAACAAAAATCCTTGACAAGATACGGCACACACATGTTCAAGATGGAGAAGCAGGAGGTATTACGCAGCAAATTGGAGCCACTTTTGTACCACCAGATGCTATTATGGAACAAACCAAAATGATGAAAGAGGTAATAAAATCTCATTTATGTACATGTATTGTCTTTGAGCTTTGAGATAAATCCAGACTCTGGTTTTTATGCATGTCCACCGTATTTACCTTGTTCATCATTGTTTAACATGATGTTCCTAATTACATGTACCTGCATAGATGCACACTGATAATCTATATATGCTTAGCTGTAGCATAAATGGAAGTGATTCTTCTTTGATGTTTACAATTTTAGTCTTCTGTATGGTAATACATGTAATTTCTTTTGTGAATAGTTTTCTAAAAATGAAATGAAGGTTCCTGGATTGTTGATCATTGATACACCAGGCCATGAGTCATTCAGGTACTACATACATGTACATGTACATGCATGTATACACTTTCTGGTTTTTATTTTTTTGTACATGTGTATACATTTTCAAATTACTTCTCTCTTTTTATACTTGTAGCAACTTAAGAACACGAGGCTCCTCAATGTGTGATATTGCTATTTTAGTAGTAGATATAATGCATGGACTTGAACCTCAAACGATTGAATCTCTTAATCTATTGAGAAAAGGAAATGTACCATTTGTTGTAGCACTCAATAAGGTGAGTACAAGAAACATTGTAGAGAATGTGGGAAGAGGAAAGATATGCTTTGTAGTATTCTATTTGGCATTGTCCTTTCCCATAATTGTGCATTGTTTAAGTATAATATATTTGGCTCCGTTCATGTTATTTCCTTAATCTGTCAATAGATCGACAGATTGTATAACTGGTTGCGTAATCCAACTTCTAGTGTAAAGGATACACTAAAGAAGCAGAAGCAGAACACTAAAGCTGAGTTTGATGAAAGAGTGCAGTCAGTCATTCTTCAATTTGCTGAACAAGTATGCAGCATTACATGTACATGTACATGCATGCATGATTGTGAATTGTTACAATTCTTTTATCTGTTTGTGCCCTTATATATTGTCATTATCGTCATTCCTTTATTTGCACTTCAAAGGGAGTTAATGCCGCATTGTATTGGGATAAAGTTGATTTTAAGGAGTACATTGCACTAGTACCAACGTCAGCTCATTCGGGTGATGGTATGGGTGACCTCATATCACTGATAGTATCACATAGTGAGGAGTATCTTACTGAAACACTCATGTTCTCTAAAGAAGTTGAAGCTATTGTGTTAGAGGTACTGAATAAAGTCCTAGCTATTATTGTGTTATTTCTAAGTCATTAAACATTTTAGGTGAAAGTGATTGGTGGATTAGGTACTACTGTTGATGTCATATTACGAAACGGTATTTTGAATGAGGGTGACACTCTGATATTAGTTGGTATTGATGGGCCATTTGTGACACAAGCTAGAGCATTGTTAATGCCTCAGCCTTTGAGAGAATTAAGAGTTAAAAATGCTTATATCAACCACAAGACAATCATAGCATCTCAAGGAGTTAAGATTACTGGTAAGGATTTAGAGAAGGCTTTAGCTGGAATGCCAGTACTTGTTGCGAAGAAGCCAGATGAGATTGATGTGCTTAAGGTAAAGTTGTAGCTAATGTTCAGGTATCCTCTCATTATCCATTTTTGTTTGACTTCAATTAGGATGAAGCAGCCTCAATGATGTCTTCCTTACTCAATACATTCAAACTTTCTGAGAGAGGTGTTTTTGTGCAAGCTTCAACTCTTGGCTCCCTTGAAGCTCTTGTTGATTTTCTTAAGTCATCTAAAATACCCGTCAGTATAATTATACACATGCATGTAACTGCCATGAATTGTTTTTATTTAATGTTTTATACAGTATGCTGGAGTAAACATTGGACCTGTACATAAGAAAGATGTCATGAAAACATCTGTAATGCTTGAAAGAGACAGCCAGTGAGTTTTTTAGCATGATTTTAACATGTCCATGTACATGTATATCATTACATGTACATTTAGCATTGCATTTGTGACGTGGGATTTTCATTATCAAGTTATACTGATATTTTTAGATGGGCATGTATTCTTGCATTTGATGTGAAAGTTGAGAGAGATGCACAGGAACTGGCTGATAGTTTGGGTGTTCGAATATTCACTGCTGACATCATTTATCATCTTTTTGATAGTTTCATGAAATATCGGGAAGTAAGTTCGGATCAGTGAAATTTTAAAATTACTTTACATAAAATTTACATCTGTCTTACTATATGAATTTTTTTAGCCAATTAAAATTGATAGCTAATTTTGTTGTTAGCATTACATTTTCTGCTTGTATCTTCAATTTTACTTGTGGTTATTTTTCACTTTTTGTACATAGGAACTGAAGGAAAGAAAGAGGAGAGAGAATGAGCACATTGCCACATTCCCTTGCAAGTTGAAGATACTTCCTAATTGTGTCTTTAATGCTCGTAACCCAATCATTGTTGGTGTGACAGTCGTTGCTGGTATAATTAAACCTGGTACACCTATTGTTGTCCCTTCTAAAGAGGTACATGTTAATAGATGCGTCTCTACTAGTACTCATTGATTATATAATGTGAACGTACATGTACATGTCTACATTTTATAGCTTTATTGTAGCTGCTTCGTTTATTTTTTTATTATTTTAATTTTTTCATTCATTTTTCCCACAGTACATTTGCTAAAATAGAATCTGTTAGGAAGTTGCTTCCTGTTTGCAAATTTTTGTGGCTATATCTCAGTTGACTTTAGCACTAAAAACTGCTATAGAACAATGTGCTAACTTTCAACCGTTTCTTAGTCTCTTCAGTCTCCCTGAAGTCTTGAATTTTATTAGTCATCAGAACCCTTTTTTGTCTTTGAGACACACTACAACTGAAGTTTTAGAGGATGTACATGTACTGCACTGACTGCTGACATAAGAACATTCCATTGAAAGAATTATTACCTTCATTATGAATATGCTTGTAACTGCTACATGTTATTTTTAACATCAAAATTTAATATTACTGAAACCACCTCATTATTCATAATACATGTAGTTTGATTGCTCAGACAAAAATCTATTTTAGAAATTTTTTCTCAAGCAAAAAATACATGCTATTTGCAGTTTTTCACAGAGTTGCATTAAAATTAAATTTTCTCATCAATGATAATGACCTTTTAAATTTAAAACAACAGTCCAAATAACACTGTCTTTTACCTTTTTTTGTATTTCTTTTAGTTTGTTCATTTAGGTACTGTTTCAAGTATAGAAATTAATCATAAGCCTGTTGATATTGCTCGTAAAGGATCAGAAGTTTGTGTTAAAATTGAGCCAACTTCTGGTGATGCTCCTAAACTTTTTGGTCGCCATTTTGATTACGATGATCTTCTTGTGAGCAAAGTTCGTCACAAATATTTTTTCTTTTGTTTGTATCAGCTTTTTTATATTCTTAATAGATATCGCGGGAGTCAATTGATGCTGTTAAGAAGTACTTTAGGGAGGATCTTCAGAAAGCTGACTGGCAGTTGATGGTGGAACTTAAGAAATTGTTTCAAGTTTATTAACTCATGTACTGTTAACATATTATTTCCTGTTTCTATTGCTATTGTTGTTCTTGTAATAAATTGTCTATATTTTACACGAGACTGTGATGAATTAATTTTTGCTACCTTTTATAGCACTTTAGCAGAATTATTGTAGTTTTTCTTAACCAGTGGATACTGCACTTCTTTGTGTAATTACTATTATGAAAATTTTCACAAGAGTTTCCCCTGTTTAAATTATGTGTAATCTTAATTTTTTATTCTGGTAACAAAAATAAAATGAATGCATGGAGTTAGTTTTAGGCAGAGTGTAGCAAGTCATATGAAATTTATGATAATTATTATGATTAAAGGTATGAAAGACATCCTTTGTATTTCTTGTTCATTGGGAGTTCTTACCTACTAAACAAGTGAAGTACTGGTAGTAACATTTCATTTTTAACTGCTTACTTAATGGACCATGTTTTCTGATATTTTTGTGCAAATGCCTTATGTTTAGACACCTCATCCTCAGTGACACTCCTTCTTGCATATTTCATTGCATCTTCAAAATGACCTCTTGTTACTACTTTAAGCTCAAGTGCACCAAAATTACTTTTTTCTTCCTTTACAAATTATTGATTATTGGCAAAAGCAATAGCATGAAACCATTAGACTCACAATATTTTGATCCTTTTTTTCACTGTCAAAAGTTAATTCTATTAATTCACGTATAGCATTCTTACAAGCCTACAATACATAATCAGTAAGTCACAATTGTTATAATTTTACCCTACGACATATTTCTGCAAGATCTGCTCCACTAAAGCCATTAGTCTTTTCAGCAATATATTTAAGATCTACATCCTATGACAAATTAAAGTGGGAAAAAAGCAGGAAATAGAAATTAGTTCTCTATCCTTTGTAGATATACCACAAGGAGTATATTTACTTTATCAACGGGAGTTTTGCTGAGCAAAGCTTTCAAAATAGATAACCTAGACTGTGATAATAATTTATTAGAAAATATACAGCTGTATAAATGCACTGTTTACCATTTCATCTGGTAATGGAACATACACTAATTGATCTAATCTTCCAGGTCGTAGTATAGCTGGATCAATGATGTCTGGACGGTTAGTAGCACCAATTATAAAAACATTCTTTTGCGTGTTAAGTGAACTCATCCCACAAATCTCAGTCAATATTTGACTAAGAACTTGATCAGAAGCACATCCTCCATGAGGTTTTGTAATAGAATCAAACTCATCAAAGAATATAATGCATGGTGTAGCTTGACGTGCTTTAAAGAATATATCCCTCACATTGGCAGCTGATTGTGGCCCTGATCTATTTGTGAGTAATTCAGGTCCCTATAATTGCAAGCAAGTTATAATACTCAATGCATATAATACAGTAATTTAAAATTCACTTGACATTACAAAGAAAATTATTGGGTTCATTACGCCACCCTCATTTGGTGCATATCATACATAATTATGTTCAGCCTACACCTGGTTTGGTAATTTGATTAATGTTATAACTTTCCCTCTCAATGCACACTAATTACTTTAACCATTCAATCTTCGTACCTTTATGGAAATAAAGTTAGCCTCACATTCATTAGCTATAGCTTTAGCTATTAGTGTTTTACCACAACCTGGAGGACCATGGAACAAGATACCTTTTTGTGGTCTCTGTCCAAACTTAAGAAACTTTTCAGGATAATTCATAGGAAACTATATCAAAAAAATACGAGCCGATTTATTATCCATTGTAATAAGTGCCAGCAATTTACAAATGCTTGCCAAATTAAAATCAACAGTATGCATAGTAGTGTAACTTGTGCAGAATAAGTCTTGTTTTCCCAAATTTCCTTTTATCAGCATAAAAGATTTTTCTCAGAAATGGAATGTTTTGAGTATTTCCCTCATCCATTAATTAAGCATACATGCACAGCTATGCTAATAATGACAGTTCATGCAAGAAATTTACAATACCAACTGCATTCACATGTGCATGACTATACAGAGTTTGCAGTCTTTGCTTATAACATACTATGTGCAATGCATTGATGCATGTATATATATAATAACACAGCATAATTCTCAATTGAATCATAGTAACAGTTACTACCTAATGCTTAGGTAACATTATCTTTACCAATGCCACATTAGCTCCAAAGAAATAATAAGCAGTACATGAAAATTGTGGTAGCAGCTCATTAATATCAATATAAGCTCATTACCTTGGGTCAACAAAAATATTTTGCTGAGTAGTTTTCAAAACCACAAGATAGTAAAGTCATTGAATTGACCATAAATTGTATAAAATACTACGCAGTATTTCTTATCTATAACTATACTACACACTACATAATAGTATTTATTATCTATGCTGTGAACCAATTATTATAGTAACAAATTTGTTGTTTATTTAATTGTAATACTATTTGACCATAAATAGTAAAAAATCTATGCTGTGACAAATTTGTCATTTACTCAACTATAATACTGTTTCAATTCTCGTAAACATGTTTGTCTTTCAATAAATTTATTTCCTCAGTTATGGTTATTTGTATCACTAAAGTAACAAAATCACTACCAAGTATATACACTTTCATATTCTGCTATAAACAATAACTACAAACAGTACATGTACCTTGATAAGCTCTTCAAGGTCTCTTTTAAGCTCTTCCAGTCCTCCTACATCAGACCAAGATACAACTGGTACCTCTAATTGGTTCTCTCGTAGTACACTAGGATCACTTTTACTTAGTGCATACTGATTGCATTAAGTTTAAATTAGCCAATAATAATTACTTTACAACCTTAAAATCCCCCATAGTAATTGCCAAGGATTCAAGTACTTCATCATTAATTGTATCATCATCCAAGTTTATGACACCTGACTTCATTTTTCCTCTTATCTAGGATTATATCAACAACAGTAGTTATTTAAAATATTTGAGTGTGAATACAATAATTATCATTAGTTATTATCCTTACATGTTGCATTGCAGCTTCAGAACAAACAGAGCATAAATCAGCTCCAACATACCCATGACATTTTGCTGCTATCTGATCAAGCTTGACATCATCAGCTAACTTCATCTTTTTTGTATGAATGCGTAATATCTCTAAACGCCCCAGTTCATCAGGGACTCCCACTAAAATCTCTCTGTCAAATCGCCCAAAACGCCTCAAAGCTCTATCAATGCTAAATACAATAATACCAGATATTTATGATGACTTTTGTAGCTATAGTAATGACTTTATCAAACCTGTTTGGCCTGTTTGTAGCTGCTAATACAATGACTTGGGAATGAATCTTTCTCAGTCCATCCATTAAAGTCAACAACTGGCAAACTACTCGTCTTTCCAAAGCACTTTCAGTCTATACAAAATAAAAAATAAAATGAGGAAGTCCTAACTTTATCTCTTTTAGGTGCTATTGCATCTAATTCATCAATAAAAATGATGGAAGGAGCATTTTTTTCAGCTTCTTCAAATGCTAGAAATATTTAGTGACAAGTAAAGCTATTGTAAAATTACTTTTACCGTATCTTAAATTGTGTTCAGAGTCACCAAGCATACCACTAATTATTTCAGGTCCATTTATGACACAAAGAAATGCACCAGTTTCATTGGCGACTGCACGTGCAATTGAAGTTTTACCAGTACCTGGTGGTCCATGTAGAAGAATTCCCCTGGAAGGTTTTATCCCCAATGCTCTATATAGTTGAGGATGACGTAGTGGCAAATCAACCATCTGTAAATATTTATCATTAATTCTACCAGTACATTGCACTTTCAGACTAATGTGTAGAGGTACAATTGTAAATTAACACATGACATTCAATCAATAATGAAAATAATTAATAATGACCTCTTTTATTTGTGCCAGCTGCTTGTGACATCCACCAATATCCTCATAACCAATATCACTGAATGATAGCTCATCCTCTTGTTTTAGTGGTTCTCCATCACAGAGTATAAGAGTATCTTGTGTCACAATGCAGTATGGTGAAGGCTCAGTTTTGATAATTTTAAATTCTACTACTCTCATACATGAATGTACTGCAAAAATGTCTCCTGTAGATAAAAATGTACAATGATAATTTTAGTGTTTAGTGTACACTGCACAGTGCACATATGACTCATTGCAGTTGCACAACATTGGATAAAATCATACCTTCGTGTACAGGTCGATATGATTCATTGAAATATGGTTTAAGAAAAGCCTTAAAAATGTTGCTATAGAATTATCAGAAGGTGTATGACGGGCAGATGACCGAAATGTAGAAGAAGTAGGGTAGTATTGTAAAGTAATTAGTGAGATACATACCCATTAAAATGTTTAATTGACTCTTCCATTGGTAAAATAGAGACACGTTTGCCATACTGAGGTTGAAATGGATAGATGCTAAAATGAAAAAAATAATAAACATAAATCTACCAATAATTGATAGACTGGTGCCTTATTTTCAGCTTCAAAACAGAACTAGAGTCCTTTACTAAGAAGTTTATTTTATTATAGTTTCACTCTTCTGATCATTTATTACAACATTTCAATGTACTAGATATTACAAATTAGACTGCGTTTTACTAGATCAGCAAGCGATTGGTCACTCAAAATAATTATTACTATTTGATTTAAAACCAATTTATAAATGTAGAAAAACATAAATTCAAAATGACAAAATTATTTTAATGTCATCATACTTGACTTTGTCCTTATATCCCACTCTCAACATATGGCGCACTACCCTATTTAATTGTATCCTGTCATTAAGCATGTTGCTATCAGATAGCACATCACAGACCTACAATAGTTTTACTTATGAAAGTGAGATGCTTGAACTTACAGTCTCTTTCCTTTGTTTTCCCTTGAGAAGAACAGTATCTCCTTTATTGAGACCAAGTTCATTCATTTTGTCCTAAGTAAAATTAAATTTTGGTCTATTTTATTGATCATACCTCAGAAATCACAGCTATCGAGTTGTCATTGTACTTGTCAATTACATCTTCAACTGCAACCCTGTTTGGTTTGTCTCTTATTTTCTTGATACCAATAGACATAGATCTAGTTGTTTCCTACAAAAAAACTACTATTTTTAGGCAGTTTAGGCTTGATTTCAAAAGTGAAGTATGCTAGGATATAATCCGAGCGTTCTGATCTTTATTTTCCGACCAGTGGCTGGAGTCATAGATATCTAACGTTTTAAATTAATTAGACTCTATAATCCGCGCTACAATCAGAGTAGACTAATCTATGTATGCTTCCTGACTAGATCTAATCTCATTAATCTGCACTTTCTGTATATAGACCTCTTTGGGTGAGAATGAATTACGTCAAAGAATGATATACGGCAAGGGGCGTGACTGAGCCTGGCTGACTCTGAAATAATTTTCGTGGACGGCAACTTTCTATGGAGTATGAATGGGCTAATGCAGAAAGCAAGCTCTATTAAAGAATATGCTTCATATTGCACCAAATCCCTTTTAGGAGATGCTTAGCAGCGACCATTCTTTCCTCCAACCAGCTTTTGTAGCTTGAAAAAGCTCCATGCCAACGAAAAGAATCAGTTTTGCCTTTTCTTCATTCATCCTCCATTGAATCTTGCCGTCCAAAATGGCGGCCAATTATCACCGTAGGTGGATACCGTAATAAACAGTAATGATATTCATAGGCCACCGTCAATCTCACCTGAAGAGGTCTATATATAGATCTATATATATATATATATCTGTGTAGATATGCCACATGTTTTGAGTCTTGTAAAATTCGATATAAAAAAAATCTCCCCCGGACCATAGTATCTATGCCCGGACCATCCGCTGGGGACGGAACTGTAGTCGTCGTGCCGTCTATGCTGTAGTCGTCTTGCCGTGGCTGCCGTCACTAGACAGAGAAAGAAAATGATTGATTTGTGTCAGTGGAGGGCTATAGTAGGAACTTGGAATTGCTGTAAGAAACGGATCTCGTACTCATCTCATCCTCTAGACGAATTCAGTGAAAGAATTACATCTACATCCTGGTCCACCGCTGGAATACTTTTTTCTATAAATTTTCTTTTACTGGTTTTTCGAGGATTTTTTTCTTTTACCCTGTTGCTATCGGGAGATGTGGAACAAAACCCAGGACCAACCATTAAAGGTAAAAAAAATTGTTATTATGATACAAAGATTATCATAAATTTTAATTAAAAAGATAAGCCAAAAGCAGATGAATTATCTGCAGCAATATCAGCTAATGAAGTAGCTGTTGCTCATTCAGGTAAGGATAGATATTAATTATATAACTGTGTTCCATATTTGATTTAGGAACTTACAGGAGAATTTGTAAAACATTGAAAGACGTCATGAAAAGTCATTATGCAACATTGAAGAAAGCCACAGAAAATTGCCTATGTATAGTAGCAGATGAAATGTATAGTCACAATCTTATTTGTCGAGAGGTTAGAAATGAGCCTTCTTTAGAAAAAATTGAGGGAGAATTTATAGCGATGATGTCTTTATTTGAAGATGACATAAATAAAATAGAGGAAAAGTGTCATTCATTTTTCCTTTGCATTGCTAGTGCTGATGGTCCAGCAAAGGATGCAGCCATTTCATTAGCAAAGGAATGGGAATCACAAGTTTTTCAACATCACCAAATATCTTTTTCATTGCAAAAAATGGAAACAAAAGAAGTAACATGTTGCCATCAAATCAAGCTCGACTGCAGTGACAGTATTGTCAAGGAAATGGATTGTCTACAAAGAAAATTTGCTTCGATTATTGCAGACATCAGGACATTTTATGCTCAGTCGAGCACTAGTGCTATTGAAATAGCTCGTTGGGTTGAAGAATTCAATGAATGCATTGTAGAAATACCATGTCATGATACTGACATTGACAAAGTGTTTCAAAGCATGAAATCTCATTATAACTTTCTAGACATTGATTTAATAAAAAGTCTGGTTGAAGCATTTCACCTTAACAATGAGCTCGATTTGAAATTTAGTGAATATGTTATGAGCCATGAAAATTTTGTAGAGCATGTAGATATAGACAGTAGTATTAAGGCAAGCATCGAAGTTGCCCTAGAAGAACAGGGAGACTCTAAAACTGAGCCAAACATAGTTCTGAAGTTATCAGGAAGATGGGGAAATAGAAATTTGGAAAACTTAAAAAAGCTTACCAATTTTTTGTTTGATGAAGATGCAAAGTACCTTACTATAAAAAAGATTAATCGTGGTTGCATAATGATAAAATTTTTGGTTTCTTCAAAAAACTGCCTGCAGTCTCTCACTTGCAAAATACAAGCAAAACTTTATTTACTGAGTCATATTGGTATTTTTAAGGTAATTATTGACAAAAGAGCTATCACTAACAAAGATGAGAACCCTGAGTTTACTTTTGAAGCCTCACTTCTAAGTGCCATCAAAAGTATTGATATTGATATTGAATATGAAAGAATGGCATTACTCTTGATTGATTTTGACATACAGATAAACTATCAAAGCAGCAAGGGGGATGCAGCACTTTTTTACGCTAGTGAAGGTGGGCACATTGAAATTTTTAAGGAGCTCTTAATTAAAGGTGCCCATACATTTGTACAAAAACCATGCAAAAGATATATTGGACTAAATTCTTTAGCATGTAAAGCACTGTCTCAGCACATCTTGAAGTCAGTTGGTGAAGAGAAAATAGTGCCACCAGAAGGCACTTCAGTTAATGATATTCTAGATATAGCAGTTCAAAAAAGTGGGATTAATTATTTCTTATACCATTCATTTGTGACGTTAATCTGCAGTAAACTACAAGAACGACTTCAAAAACTGTATCAACATTTTCAGTCGTTAGATAATAAGTTTACTGCTACTGCAAATAAGCTAATAGGAAATGTTATATCACTGAAAGACACGAGGCAGTCTCTGCTACTATATATCAGTGCAAATATTGTGTGTGATAACGTGCAACAACTTGCTAACTTACTCCAACCACACTATTCATGCTTAAACATTAACCTTTTAAAAACAATAAGCATTATTTTTGACAATCATAAACTAACAATGGAAGCTGACTTATACACCAAACAGCTAAATGAATTCAAGAATATCACAACTTTATTAGAATTTACCATGGCCAGTGAACAAATGAATAAAATACGACCTCAATTTTCTTTCAATTTTTCTAAAATAGTTTTAAAATTTAACAAACCCTGGGGCTCAAAAACAATTTCTGATTTGAATAAACTCGATAAATTTTTATTTTTGCAGTCTCCGTCATATCTAAACTTAATTGATATAGAACGAATGCAGAATTCCACTATCACATGCACTTATCTTGTTCCTTTATCACAAACAGAACAGATAAGAAATGCAGTAACTAAACATTGTGACTTTCTATATAAAATTGGTGTATATGAAGTACATGTTGATGATTTTCCCTTGATGGTGAAAACTGAAAATACATTGTTTAACTTTGAGGTGTCACTGCAGAAAGCTCATCAAAACAATGATGAGCCTGTACTTTTTTTCTTACTTGAGCTTGATGCTCAATTACCATCAATGGATTCTGATACTGCTGTGCCTTTAGTAAAGATAGATAAAAATTCAACCCAAGAATTTGAAATAGATGATGGGCCAGATATAGTGAGAGAAGAGATTGTTTTTGAGGCAATAAAGCGACGTGATGTTAGAAAAGTACAGATGTTACTAAATAAAGGATGTGATATCGATTACATGGGTGATGAAGGGCTGACATTCTTAATGTTGGCTGTAAAATATGGTGATACTGAGATAGTAAAGTTATTACTTGAGAATAATCCAAATGTTGAGCTTCAAGATCGTAACGGTAATAATGCCCTTATGATGGCCAGTTCCCTTGGTCACAATAACATCGTACATCTTCTGTTACAGAAAAACCCTGTTCTCGACAATCAGAATAATGAGGGAATGACGGCACTCATGCTAGCAGCTTGTAATGGCAAAGAGAATATTGTGAGACAATTGCTAAAGGAAGGAGCACGCACTGATCTCACTAATTTGGATGGAAAAACAGCATGGACATTTGCAATGGATCATGATTATCCACGTATTGCTGACTTGCTTTAGATTAGTGTATTAACTCATTTTTTAGTCTGTAGTCTGTACTTTTGTTGATTGTTTTGTTTTACTGAAGTTTGATATTACATTTTGGACACTTTTAAACATTTACTAATTCACTTTGTTTTTGATCTTTTGCTTTTACACTAAAGCATTTGGGATTATTACTTGAACTTGACTTTTCTTCATAGGTACTACATACACCAAGTATGTGCATATAGTGTCTATGATCTATCTATAGACCTATTAGGTCATGATTACATCAGGATTATGCGATCATGTAATAATTGTAATTCCTCTTGATCAGACCTTTGATGAGGTTGGGCATAAAAGTAGCATAGTACTATAGTTGAATTTCAACCACTGCACCTGATTGTACGACTCTTTTTGTACTGTATGTGGCAAGCACTGATTTCAAACTGAAATCATTTCCCAGTTGGAAAGGTTGGTTCCATAATCACTCTATACATTTTATTTGTTCTGCACAACATGCCTTCAAGGTTCCACCTGACCTAATAGCCTAAAAGAAAAAGGCCCAGCCCAACCAAAATACACATTTTGTTATTATTTTACTGCCATGGTTCTGCTGATGATAGTCAAGGGTAGTCAGGAGCAACCACCACAATAAATAAACAACCAGTTCATCACCTAAACTATAAACATGCAGTTAATATTATTAACCATGCATAATAAAGCATGATATTCTAACATGTACATAAATTTAAAAAAAACAATTGTAGATTCTGATCACCTCTTTTTTTAGCCAGAACCATGATTTCCTTTCAAGACAAAGTGCATCAAAATTAACAGCCTATACAAATGTTTTGTCCCTATTAAACATTCTTATTGCATATTAAGTTATTACAATGTAAAAGTGCATTGAGCAATTTGATTATCATCACTGTTGTCATTCCCATCAATAAGTCCATTATAATGCATATCTTTACCTTAAAATGTGTCTATATTAACTCTTGCTAAATTATTTTTCCTATAGTAAACCAAAATGATAATATTAAAAGCCTTATTTTTATGGTAGACACTCTTAGTCATTCATACCTTTACCTAGTCTCACCATGCCCCTTTGGCGAGACTAACCTTTACCCTACACCAGGCCCATAGTCAGGGGGTGATTAAGGTGATGTGTCACACCGCTTTTGAATTACTACCTTTGCTCATCGCATTTGCTTAAATTATACATGTATTTCTGGTATTTCATGTGTACACTATGTATCGTAAAGTGAGATATATTTTTGGAGCCATTATTAAGAAAATATCAGCTTTTAGCTTTTAAACTCAATTCAAAAGATGTATTATGTATGTGCATAAAAATTATGTAAAAATGATTTTAGTGTTAGTTTTAGAAAATATCTGTAGGCATAAATCTACATGTATGTTGCACCACTAGCTACATAGATACAGCTTCTTTATGAGATTTTGCTGAAGGAAAATGGACAGTTTACTGGTGAAGAGAACCTTACAAAAAGCAGCTTCAAATAATAGCAAAATACATGTATATGTATTTATAACTGATGACAAATAAATGGATGAGAAGGTACCTTAACCCTTTTTCTTACAGAGTACATTTTTGACAAATGTAAGGAATTGTGTGTAGGGAATAGCACTTTATATGTTGTGCATCTTTATTGTATCTTTATTTTATGTTTATTGTATCTTTACATGCATGTTATTACAGCCCCGCAAGTGCAATATCAATTTACAAGCACCTCACCCGATAAATGTATCTTGATACGTGTATTTAATTTATTTTCAAGTTAAATTTTTCTTTTTATACTTCTAGCAACTTAAGGACACGAGGCTCCTCAATGTGTGCATGATATTGCTTTTGTAGCAGTTGATATAATGCATGGCCTTGAACCTCAAACAATTGGATCTCTTAACCCAGGAAAAAATCTTACATAAGATCTTGCTTAACATCTTATGAAACCTTAAAGTGATCGTGCATCTTTAATCATACCTGTTCTTGCAAAATTATTAGACAACAAGTTCCAAAATCTTGTCAAGATCTTATGATATATCCTACAAGATCACTTACTAAATTTTACATTATCAGTCAAGATCAGGAACTAAAGATCAATGTAATAAGATTTTGCTATCAATATCTTGAGGAATTAGATATGTTTTATATGGGATTCTGAGGACATCTCTTATAATTAAAATAACTGCAGCTGTAAGATCTGAGCCTGATCAAATGCATAATATAATGTTGTGAGATAATACTATAACTTCACTACCTTTCATTGATTGTTAACTTTCTTTATATACTCACACTTTTATAAAAGGCTATTGTGGGTTGTCAACTACTTCCTGTGACTTAAAATGATGTGGTATATAAGAAAAATCATGTCAGATCTTAAATAAAATTGCATGGTCCTGTGAACTTTATCAGTAATATTGTAAGAAAACATCATGTAAGATCTTAAGATCGAGCTTGTACATCTTATCAGTGATATTGTAAGATAATTCATGTAAGATCTTAAGTAAGACCATGCCTGTATAAAGTAGCTAACATCAATCAGACTAAATCCAAATAAAACCTTATAATATTGTTCCTACTTCCTATCTCATGATTCTCACCTTACCTCATCTTGTATTATCTGATCAGATAATACAAAATCTTAAGTAAGATTTTTTCTATTGAGAAAAGGAAATGTTCCATTTGTTGTAGCCCTCAATAGGGTGAAGACAAGGAACAATGTAGAGAATGTGGGAAAAGGAAAGGTATGCTTATTTGGTATTGTTTTGTAAAGCTGCATACTTGTTCAGCAAATTGAAGCATGACTGACTGCATTTTTTCATCAAACTCAGCTTTAGTGTTCTGCTTCTGCTTCTTTAGTGTATCCTTTACACTAGAAGTCTTTGTGAGAATTAAGAGTTAAAATGCTTATATCAACCACAAAACAATCATAGCTTTACAAGGAGTCAAGATTACTGGTAATGACTTGGAGAAAGCTCTAGCTGGAATGCTAGTACTAGTTGCTAAGAAACTAGATGAGGTTGATGTGCTTAAGGTAAAGTTGTAACTAATGTTCAGGCATCCTCTCATCATCCATTCCCTGTATTACTTTAATTAGGATGAAGCAGCCTCGAATGATATCTTCCTTACTCAATACATTCAAATTTTCTGAGAGAGGTGTGTTTGTGCAAGCTTCAACTCTTGGCTCCCTTGAGGCTCTTGTTGATTTCCCTAAGTCATCTAAAATACCAGTCAGTACGACATGCATGTAACTCCATGAATTTTTTTAATGTTTTATACAGTATGCTGGAGTAAACATTGGTCCTGTACATAAGAAAGATGTCATGAAAACATCTGTAATGGTTGAAAGAGACAGCCCATCAGTTGTTTCAGTATGATTCTAACATGCCCATGTATATCATTAATTCCATACAGTACAATGTAGTATTGCATTTGTGGCATGTGGTTTTCATTATCAAGTTATACTGATATTTTTAGATGGGCATGTATTCTTGCATTTGATGTGAAAGTTGAGAGGGATGCATGCACAAGAATTGGCTGATAGTTTGGGTGTTTGAGTATTCACTGCTGAAATCATTTATCATCTTTTTGATAGTTTCATGAAATATCGGGAGGTAAGTTCTCATCAATGAAATTTTAAAACTACTATACATAAAATGTACATGTGTTTGCTGTATGCATATTTTTAGCCAATCAAAATTGATATCTAATTTTGTTGTTAGCATTACATTTTTCTGCTTTAGTTTCACTTGTGGTTATTTTTTACTTTCTGTACATAGGAACTGAAGGAAAGAAAGAGGAGAGAGAATGAGCACATTGCCACATTGCCTTGCAAGTTGAAGATACTTCCTAATTGCCTAATTAATGCTCGTAACCCAATCATTGTTGGTGTGACTGTTGTCACTGATATAATTAAACATGGTACACCTATTGTTGTCCCTTCTAAGGAAGTACTTGATATAATTATTTTATTTGCATGCATGTTTACATTTTATAGCTTCATTGTAGCAGCTTGTTCATAGCAGTGCATTGTAGATTTGTTAAAATAAAATCTTCAATGAAGTTGTTTCCTATTTTGCAAAATTTTGTGGCTATATCCCAGCTATCTTTAGCCCTAAAAACTGCTATAGAACAATGTGCAAACTTTCAAGCATTTCTTAGTTTCTTCAGTCTCCCTGAAGTTTTGAATTTTATTAAAGTCATTTGAACCTTTTTTATCTTAGAGACACACTAGAACTCAAGTTTTAGAAGACTTACAGTCTTACGTGTACAATGTATATCACTGCACTGACTGCAGACAAAGAAAAATTTCATTATTGTGTTGCATGAAAGAATCATTACTTTCATCATGAATATGCACCCTACTGTTACATGTTACATGTATTTGTGACTTATTGCATTTCAAAACATTTTTAAATTCCACATACACATAGCTCCTTTCACTTCTGGCATACATGCATACACTATTTACAGAAACTAATTCATTATTCAAATTAGCATGTTTTCTCAGATTAAATCTCTTTTAGAAAATTTGTTTCATATTCTTTTTGTAGTTTTGCACAGAGCTACAGCTGAAAATAAAATTTCTGATAATTACCAATAAACTTTAAAATTTTTAAACAACATTTCAAATAATACTGTTTCTTACTTTGTATTTTTTAGTTTGTTCATTTAGGTACTGTTTCAAGTATAGAAATTAATCATAAGCCTGTTGACATTGTTCATAAAGGATCAAAAGTTTGTGTTAAAATTGAGCCAACTTCTGGTGATGCTCCTAAACTTTTTGGTCACCATTTTGATTACGATGATCTTTTTGTGAGCAAAGTTTGTCACAAATATTTTTTCTTTTGCTTGTATCAGCTTTTTTAACTTTCTAACCTTCTTAATCAATTTTGCGGGAGTCAATTGATGCTGTTAAGAAGTACTTCAGGGAGGATCTTCAGAAAGCTGACTGGCAGTTGATGATGGAACTTAAGAAATTGTTTCAAGTTTATTGACTCATGTACTGTTAACATATACATGTAATATTTCCTGTTTCTATTGCTATTGTTCTTGTAATAAATTGTGTCTTTGTATTTTACATTGTTACATGAAATAGGATTGGTGCTATTTCTATAGAAACTTTGGCAGTATTACTGAACTGTTTTTCACTTGGAATAAATGAATCACTGGATTCTGCAATTCTTTGTGCAATTACCATCTTAAATTACAAGTTGACTTTATAATTACATGCATTATGTATCTAATAACATTAGAAGTTGACTCACAGTTTCATCTAGGGTAACAAAACTGATTGCATAAAGTCACCTTATGTGAAAGTGTCACAGTAAGACAGGTCATTGTTAGGGCGAGCCCCATTAAGATTAAAAAGCAAGAAATGTATCAGCTGACTGGCACTGGTAGTCTTTAGTACTTTAAAGTTTAATAACCTAGAGTGACTACATGGATCTAGATATGTATGGCTTCCTCAGGCTGCCCCCTTAACGTCTTACATTTTTATCTAGTGCAATAAAGTGGGAATCATTGCATCAATAACCATTATTAAAACTTATCGAAGAAAACTAAAAGTAAGTATTTTAATTCAGCAAAAAAGTAAACCAAAATAAAGCTATTATAATAACATTATACTACTGTTTAGCAGTACTTTTGAGAACAGGAACTACATGTAAAAAAAGTAAAGTCCAAAACTTATCAAAGAGAAATGTTATGTATTATTCTACGAAAAATTAAATCAAAATAAAGTAATTACTAACATTTATTGATAAGACTTTTTTTACTAATGTTCAGCAGCACTTTTGGGAACAGGAACTACAAAAAAATAAAGTCACAATTAATTTTTAATTGCCTTACTATATGGATCTAGATCTTTAGCTAAGTCATAAAATTTTGAGTTTAACTCCTACAACTTTCTTGCAAGATCTCTTTTAGGCTCATTACTTGAATATTTTCTGCTCCACTACATTACAATGGACAAGACTTGAATATCCTTAGAATCAAACTGCTTCAAACTTCTTGTATCAACCTCAAGACTTCTTGCAAGCTCAGAAACAACATCATGATCAGCATCATGAGACTTTGAAACCTCAGAAGCAATCCAAGCTATATCTTTGACTGATAAACCTTTAACATTTAATATATACATATAACAGATAAAACCTGTGCAATTATCTTTATTTTAACTCACAATTATTGCGTTTGAAATGAGACGGAATGGGAAACTACAAAGTAAATGTAATTAATCTTTAACACAAGTAACTGAGCTTACTTTCAGTAACACATCATTCCATACTTTTAACTGTGTCCCACTGAACTTCATTTTACAAGCAGAGCACTGCAAAGTATCCACAGGAAGGATATGATGATAGCCTGTCGCAATATCATGAGCATTGTGCAGCTCACAACGACTACAGAGAACAATAAAATCAAATGATGTTTTGCCACCATCGATTTTCGAATTTTTTGCCATTTGGTAGCATACTGTTATTATCCCAGCACACACTTTTTCATCTGGATTGCTGACATGTATCTTGGTGGTTGGGCTGTGATGAACTAACGTAATAATGACATCTGATAAATTGCTCGCTTTTACTTCAATTTTTGTTTAGTGCAGGGCATCAGTATGGCATCAGTGAAAAATTTTAAAATGTGCGTAACAAAGAATGCTTGTTTGAAAATGTGAGACTTGTCAATGCTTGTTATAACATGCAATGCTTCAGCGTCAACTTCTACTATCTTTTCACCGGTACGAGTGAGTGGCACAAAATAGTAGACTTTAGCATAATCAAGATTTGATAGATCTATTGATTCAGCTCTGACTTGTACAGCCAAGTGTACGACCGCTAATGCATCCATATATGCTTTCCAGTACTTGCGAAGGTGTTCATTGCCAACTTCTTTGCAAAACTCTTCTGATATAATTCCATACTGGAGTGTTGGATATTTGTCGAAGCTGCTCTTCAAAGAATTTAAAAAAGCATCTAGTGCTCTCAAAATCCAATCGGTTTGACTACAACATATTCGTAATCTGAATCGACAATACTTAGATCAAAAATGCTGCCAAACGACATGTAAAACATTGAGAAATCTTTTAAGGACTCAATACTTATGCCACATTTCTTTGCCATGTCGAGTAGCCGTTTTTTGGATACAATTTGCTCAAGACCAAAATAAAATAGGCTACGAAGAAAGACCCATGCAATTGGAATTTCTACATAGGGTGTCTCACACATAACTTGTTGAAACTTTTTAAATAAATGCAGCGAGTTTTCGTCAGAAATGATGCCTTTTGCATTTATTGTTTCAAACTTTTGATCAATTATTGAAGAAACTTAACATGCTCCGCCACTTGCAACATTTTATGTTTTAAAGTATTTACAAGAGATTGAAGGTCGTCTTCTTTCTCGTGTGCAGCAAAAAACCATGCAGGAACTTTCTCTGGGTCTTGTTCCCATGCTTAGCCTGCTAGTACGAATCAAGTAATGCAATCAAGGTCGCCATTTCATAAGATCTTGAATATTTTCTTCATTTTGTGGCTCTGATAGTTGGCGCTCAAATGGAGGAAGTGGCTGATGAAGCTCATCTAGATCTCTGTTAATATTAAGAAAAAGCCACATGTGACTGTTGTAGAGGTGCCCGATAAGTCCACTGAGAAAATGAAAGACAGCTTTATTGATCGCCAAATCCCAAATGTTAATGAGAGCAATACCTTCTGGCAGTGTTTCCTTGAAGTGCTTTGCATATTTCTTTTCTTCCGCACGTGGCTTGTACTTATCTTTAAGATAATATAAAAAGCGTTGAAGTATTTGATCAAACTCTTTATCACCAAAACTAGATGCAGAATCACTCTCTACATCAAAATTTGGGATATTTCCACGCTCTATAAGCTTACTAAAAGCAGATAGAAAACTGAAAGCACAGCTGGAATTTTTTGTAACTTCGGTTATAACAGGATGTCGTAAACAGTGAAAACCACATGCTACCAATTCGAAATATGAAATGCCAGCTGCCTTATTATCTTTTTCATGCTTTGGAGTCATTGTATCCAAATCTTCATTTGCATCAACGTAACAATCAAGTAGGTGTCAAACAGCTTTTGTCTTACCACTTTGTGGTAGCCCACTAAATGCTATCAAGATGGGGCGTATTTTTGTTTTATTTTGCTGGTCCACTATCAAATCTTTTAGATTATCAGGATTAATGCGAACTTGTTTGGGTACAATATCTATGAGTTTTGAAAAAAAATAAAAACTTCATTGTATGTAAGCATGTACCTTGCTTGGAAGGAGAGGTGGGTAGTGACTCTGATTTTTCTATTAGAGGTCCACGATCATTTGCTGGAATACTAATTGCTGCATTAACTGAATTTTCAAACACCAACTCAGAATCAAATCCATTATCTTTTGACAGCTCAGGAGTAAGATATTTTGCCATTTTCAGAGTTGTTAACTGCTTAAAGTTTTATGAATATATTTATGTGGATCTAAGCTCATGTAGTGATCAGTAGGATGTGGTTACAAAGATGTCCTTAAATCCACCCATTTAACTTTATTCATGCCCTTCAGTTAATACTTTTTTGATTGTAGTCATGCCCTCAAATCCAACCTTCATAAGGGTGGATTTAAGGGTAGATATGTCACTAAATCCTATTATTTTTTAATAACTAAGAATTAGATTATAAAAAACATAACACAGAAATTGACAATGATATTCTTGTTACAATTCAAAAAATGACAATGGTTGAAGTAATATGAGATCCATGAGAATAAAATTAAACAAAAGACAGTAGTATTGTGTGATGTTTACATACATTTGTAAATGAGGAACTTGATGCATGTAGTCTTAAAAGTTATTTTCAATTGATGTACATGTACAAGGGCTATGAAAATTCTTAATAAAAATGAACAAGCTCAATTTGGTACAAATTTTACTAAAAAATTTTGTCTGTAAATTCTATAGTGTGCAGTTAAATCAGATACAGCTGTGATGCATTGAATGTGTTAATAAGTTTTTGACTGCCCAACTAAAAAATTAAAAAAGCATTATGTACATTATGCAGCTTCTAAGGTATTATTGCTTACCATAAATGTCCAATTTTTTTGCAAGTTTTAAAAAGAATTTTGTAACTTCAAATTCCTGATGAGATTCATGACTTATTTCCAACAGTTTCCTTGCTAAGACCCTTCGTGGTCCTTCATCCAATTGCTTTTGTAAACGGTTTACAGCTGCAGTAGATTCCTCTTCTTGCTTTTCCCTAACAAAAACTTTTTCCCACTCCAAGAGCATTTGTATTACAAGTTTTCCTCCATGAAGCCCTTTAAACTTAGAATCTTCCATTTTGTATCCTAATGCTTTGGCAAAATAAGAAATAAACTGTGAATTTGCAGATAATTCTTCGGCAATCAAATGAAAATGATGAATTGTAAAATCTAAAAACAGGATGTAAAAGTAACTTTTGCTTATACACATGCATATACCTTCAATAATCTGATGCTCCATGGGAATAATGAACTATAGCAATTAATAATTAGTATAATTATTGTCATAGCTCATGATAATTTACTTACTTCAATTAACACCTTGTTCCACATTTTCAAATTCTCATTACTTCTGCATGCATCAGCGCATTTTTTACATGCTATTTTTTCATTAGGCAAAATATGAGTGTGGCATGATAAAATAGAACTTGGTGAAATATCACTATCAATTTCTTTGCAACAGATTATGACAAACTTGTACTTCACTTTCTCTGTACTGGGACGTTCAGTAACTGCTTTGCAGGCATTTAGAACACTCCTGTAAACAGCTTCATTCGGCTTGCTGATTTTCAGCATATTGGCTGGGCTAAATGAAACAAACTCAATTGTCGTATCTGTCTCATTATCATGAATTATTGACTTATTTGACTCAAAACATGGTATTAGTTTAGCTGTAACACGAGACGACAGTATGTAATGCACAATCTGTGCTTGCTTGTTGATGATAGGAGAGTCGATGCTCGTGATGAAATAAATAGCATTTAAATCCACCGATGTATGAACTTCATGACCATTCTGTCTTCTCATTTGTGGGACATAATAAATGGAATCAGTGCGAGGGCAATCACTTAAGTGTTTCGCTTCAAAAGAGCTCTCAATGGAGCCACTTACTTTAACAGCAAGTCCAACAGAAGTAAGTGCATCCATACAATCAGAGCATTCTATTTCAAATAATTTGTTGCACAATTTTTCTGAGACAATGCCAGACTTCATCATTGGATATTGGTCGTACACGCTTGATTCTGGCTGAAGAACTTTATCAAGTAATCTTAAAAACTCAATCGGCAATAGAACAATTAATTTATGATCAGGATTGATGAAACTAAAATCGATAATGCTACCATAAGACATGTAGAAACGACAGAAATCTTCAAAAGAATCTCCAATTATTCCGACAGATTTAGCTTTAGCTTCAAGTGCGCTTTTAGAAATAATTACTTTTTCTCTCTGCTGATAAAAGAGGCTACGTAAAAAGAGCCATGAAAGTGGTATTTCCGTATACGATGCTTTACATATCAACTGATAAAATTTTTGGTACAGATGCTGTGATTGATCATCTGGAAATTCAGATTCGCTTAAATTAATTGCTTGAATTTTTTCATCCAGAAGATCATACACACCAACTTTCCGTGCTTCTTCCTTTACAATATCTTCCAGCTCTTTTACTTTTGCCTTTAACTTTCCATTGAACATATCATCATGCCTTGCAAACACTGTACAGCAGCCATCACGGTCAGATCCACTTTCACCACCATGACTTATTTTACTGGAACGAAGCAAGTAATGAAGACGAGGGCGCCATTTTGGAATTTGCAATTTTTCACTTGGACAATGTTCAGGAGGGCAATCATATTGATCCATGTCTCGTTCTATGTCAAGGAAAAGCCAAGTACTGCTACAATAGAGGTGGCCAGATAGGGCCATAAGACATGAAAGAGTTGTGGTATTAATTGAAACATTCCAAATGTTGATCAGTGACGTGCCACTTGGCAGTTTCTTCAGGTGATTGGCAAATTCATTTTCTTTTTCTGTAAGCTCTGCTTTTCCATCAATATGCTCATATTGCGATATGTGCTGAAACAGATACTCAAGATGCCCCTGTAATGAAGCATCATCGAAAAAAAATGGATCACTTCTTGATCCTTGCTTTTTGGCTACTGTTACAGTAGGTTGTGGCATTCTACTTTCCTGAGTGATCCTTTTCTTAAAAGCAGACATTATGCCAAATGAACAGCTAAACTCGTTTGTTATTTCGACAATTTGAAGGCGATGAAGACCAACTGCTACAAGTTCATAATATGTGATAGATTTTGCTTTCTTTGGTGTATAATTCTTACGTGACATAGGCAAGTATGGACTCTTTTCAACATGATGCTTTAGCAAGTGAGAAATGGCATCACTGTCGCCAGAATCAGGTAAGCCAGTAACTGCCAGCAAAATGGGACGAACTTTGACTTTGTTTTCTTGGTTTAGTATCATTTCTTTTAAGTTACCAATATTAAATGGGACTCCTATTTGTTAAAAACAGTAATGAAAGTAATAACATTTGTTTTAACCATAATAATTTTAGGGCATGACTTATAGATTTTTTGTACCATGGCCCTCATGGTCTTAGTTGTAGCCAAAGGTTTTTGTTAACATTAAATCTCAAATACATCGTTTTGGTTTTTCTGTGATCAAATCATGTTAATAAACAAAATGGGAAACTATTTGTGATATGGGCACTAAAATTACATAATAACATACACTGTTAACCAGCAGCCATTTTTAACATATATTTACCGTATAAACACCTGGTCCAAATAAACATCTGTCATAAATATATTCTAGCTATAGATATGCATATTTCTACCAAAAATAATGCTCCATTGTTTGGATAACTCCAAAGTGCTTATTAATTAGAGCCTGGTTTGACTTGCTCAGAGTTAAGAGTTCTGTCCCGCTCGAAAAAACTTTTTAATTTTTTTCAATGAATTTTTTGCTGCTAAGAAATAAACACCCTGGTGTTTAATTGGTAAAATACGGTATTTTATGGATAATAAATTTTACAAATTTCATAAATCCTTACAATTCGTAAAATTAAACTTTGTACGGAAAAATTTTTGTTTGACGAAAATTTTAACAGCAATAATTTTGTTCTACATGGGTAGTGTGTGGATTTATAACAGAAATGACAAATTTTATTGACAAAATTATTCTTAACAAGAAATTAAGATTTTGAACTGACAAAAATTTGGAGTTATATGGTATTTTTTAAATGGGATGCGTCCAAAATGAGATACAAATAAAAATCATTAGCATAAAATATCAATATTAGGATATCATTAATCTTGTTTATGTAGATCTATTTATAGTTGTTCCCGTTCACTCAGTAGTAAACAATGAAACCACTGTTGATATAGAATAGTACAATACACAACACAAACCATGCATACAACTTATAAAATTCTACCTGTGATTTCCGTGCCAGATGTAGAATCGGTAGCAGTACTCTGTTCTTCATAGAGATTTCGAGGGATGCGAAGTATTTTGGTCAACTTTGCGGTCTCGCTCCTCCCAGGAATAACCAATTCGCTTTGTCTTTCTCTTTCATCGTGGACTTCTACACAAAGGTCATTCACAGGAAGTTGAACTTCATTTGGAGCTATGGAAGAGTCAGACATCGTTACTTGAACTTGATTTTCCTTGGCAGTTGAGAAGAAAGGATGAGTCATCATGTCCCGTACGCGTAAATAACGTACATAGGAGGGGCCGCAAGGCTGTTGTTAATTTTATAATAGTTCATTGTAATGACGTAAAAGGATATTTTTGCTGCAAGACATAAATGAATGCATGCTGCAGTACTGGCAATACAGCTTAAATATCTTAAAATTCTGCTGAAAAATCAAAACAATAGCATCTGCATTTTGTTATACTCATCTCTTGTGACACAAACGGCTTAGCGAAAAGTTATCGGTGAAAAAGGACTATAAAAATTTTTAAAAATTAAAGTTCAAACAATAGTAAAATAAATGTATCTTCATCTCATCTCTTTCATTTCCTTATTTTATTTCTGTCATTTCCAATCCCTCACTAGAAAAAGTAGTGGCAGCCATTGTTGCTTGTGGTATTGGATCTACTCCAGAAGTTTGCTCGTCTTCTTCAACACGCAAAGGAATCGGCAACAGCTGAAACAGCATAAAAACATTGTTACCATCATGATGCTTAGTACTGCTAGTACAAGCAGTTCTGTATTCTCTAGTCTGGTGGTTATGACGCCTTAGCCTTAATGACACATAGCCATCACGACGATAATCCCTCCTGGAGCAATTAATGTAAAACATGTCCCCACCACTCGTCCATTCGCTTAGTGGAACAGGTAACTGGTGCTTCTTTTGCGACACAATACGACTGTGTAATACAAAACGAGATGTCGAGTCAGAGACAGTATCCTGTACAGATAAAGGACCAGAATTATTTCCAAAAAGGTTTAATGGAGCATTAAGATACATTATCACTTTTGATTTATTAGACTCCGAGAACACTGATTGACGCCTTCCATGAGATTGTTCTGCCTCAGACTCACTGACTGGCTTGTAGTATCCAATGAGAAACTCATTCGTCTTCCCAGCTCTGTCATTTGGAATTATATAAAACTCAGAAGCATCTCGCATGACAGAAGTACCAACAACAGAGTATCTTGGACCAACTTGAAGAAAGAGGCCCGATCCACAAGATATCAGAAATGGACCATCTAAACATACATGTAAATAAAAACATGTGAAATGATTTGCATTTTAAATAAATCAAAAACTACATGTACGAATGTACTTTGCATGCAAATCCTTACCACTTCTGTCACTCTGTGACTCCACAAAATGAAACAATGCTTTTTCCATCTGATCACGCAAATATTTTGTCTTGACGAGTGCAGCAATTGGATTTATAGATACATTCACTACTGCTTCACCATATGATCCTCTAACGACTCTGTCATCTTTTGAGATAATACCAATTTTTTTCAAATCCGATGCTTTTCGCTTTTTCTTATAGGTATAGCTCTGCTGTGTCACTGCACTGGCCAATTTATCAATACCAAATGATCCTGCTATGCTGACAGCATTTTGATATTCATCTTCAGTAAAGACACGATACTCAGCAGCACCTAGCTCAATAGCACTGACATAATGTGTGATACGAAAGTGAGTGACAAACTCCATGCATGCTTCTTTTATCAAGTGATGGTCTTCTCTACGATTTTCCTTGATAACAAAAATGAGATCCTTAAGTGGACACTTATTATTAGTGTCAGCAACGCTGCTAGGTAGTGTCAATCTTTCAACTGCTTTTCCATCGACCTCTTCTTCCCAGCTGTTTTTTAATTTATCCATTATCCAGTGTGCCAATCTCTGCTCAAATGTCCAGAGGTTTTGAATGGTACCATCACTTGCTTCATTTTCATCAACAGGAAGTACCGAATCTCCAAAAGGAATGTCATCGAAGTTATCCCGAAAGGAGATGGTTCGATTAATGACTTTCCTTCCTATAGCTCTCCTGGAAGCGTGAATACTCCTCGAAAGTTCTGCATCGGTTCCAATGGTCAGAGGGCTTTTGGGAACAAGAATAGAAGTCTTTATTTTAGTCTGCTGTGTCTGGACACTCGATATTTCTCGTTCGTAGCTCTGTACTGCTCCTCCCTCTTCAGTACCCAGTATGTTGTCATATGTCACCCTCCTTACTTGAAAGGATGTCTTATTGAGCCATGGTGTCGGATCAGTACCATCGATTCCTCTACCAAGTCCCAGGTCAACATATCGATATATTTCATCACTGGAATGAACTGGAGGGACTTTCATTATTTTCTCACTGTATTCTTCATCTTTTGTCTGCTTGTCACTATCAGCTTGTTTGTTGTCCTCAGTCGATGGTGCTTCAGCCATTCTACTTACAGTAGTCTGCAGTCGAACAAAAACAAAACTAGGCTTGAGTGAGTTCGAGGCCTAAGTCTTAGACTACGATGAAAGGTATTGAAGAAGACGAGCGAGGCAAAGGTTGCAAGGGGCAACGTTCAAGTTGAAAGTTGAACGTCGTCGAGGCAGCAAAAGGGTGTGGTTTGGGCGGGGAAAGAGAAGATGGCTCATCTACCAGATGATGATCTTCCTTCTTCTTTTGATATTGTAATAGTTGGTACAGGTAAGTCTTCGTGGTTTGGTTCATTTAATGCCTTGTCTATTTTTAGGCCTTATCCAATCGATCGTTGCCGCTGCTGCTGCTCGAGCTGGCAAGACAGTTCTTCACTTGGACAAGTGATTGAAAATAATTAATTATTATAAATAATGATCTTGTTGTCATTAATAATTTTTAGTAATTCTTATTATGGTGGGTGTTGGGCCACTCTAATGTATAATGATCTTCAGCGTTGGATCGAGGTACATTCAAAAGAAGTCACTGATGAAGACGAATCAACTGTTGTCACACAACTGAATGAAGATGAGGTGTCCGTTAAGTGTAACTTATCATTATCTGATAAAGTGACTAATCTTATTGAAATCAACCATTCGGAAGAGGAGGAAGAAGAGGATAAAGGAGAGAATAAAACTGATGAGGAAGCGTATGTTAATTTTTGTATTAGACTAGTAGGTACATGAGTAATACCATGTACTGATTTATATTCATGGGAAAATTCTTAAATTCTGCTTTTGTAAGATTTCTCACAACTGTACAATGTTGCAATGAAGTGCAGTCAGTTCTGGTCAATTCATTAAAATTATGCATGCTGATTTAAAATGCTATAATGCATGCATAAAAAATTAATACACAGAAATGGCTAAATCTTTCCACCTGGCCCATCAGTGGGTAAAATGGTTGCTCTTTGAGGCTATTTTTTTAATTTTTTTTTTCAACCATAAACAATTTGCTGTATACATGTAACTCTCAGTCAAAAATTTTGATTTTAATTTTTGTCCTTAATTTATAAATCCACAGCACCCTCATATTTTGTCAAAAATGCCTGACAAAAAATTTTTTTGACAAATATGTCAAAATTCTTGTTTAGAGCTACTGTATATGTGTCCATACACATATACAGTAGCTCTATGGTAGTTGAACCTCCATGAATGATACAGGGGTTAAATGCATATACATGTAAATACTTGCTGCTTAATATTATTAGATGGTTGTGTCATTCTAAGATTTTAAATTTATAATTGTAATTTTATTTCTTCTATAGCTTAGTTGAGTCTGTTCCCATTAATGAAGAGCCCACTTCAAATGACGCTCCAGATATGCCAATAAACAATGAACCAATTGAATCTAAAGTAAAAGTTACCTGGAACAATTTAGGGAATCAGAAAAAACGCTTTAATTTTGATCTTATTCCTAAAGTAAGCACTTTATAATCTATATACTGGTGTACATGTAGCTGAAGTCTTTATTATTAATCACAAGTAGATGTTTAATACCGTATAGCGTCAAATTTTCGTGGTTGAAAATTTTCGTGATTTTCGTGACTGAATGGACAATCACGAAAATATTTTTCACGAAATTTAATTTTGATATAAATGTGGGCGTGTCCCATCACGCCTTTTATTTGTTTCTTGGGCACAGGCTGCACAGCTAAGAGTCGCTCCTATAAAGGGAGTCCACCTTTCTTGGTATACGTGATAGCCACGGATACACGAAGGGAATTAATATCGAATAATGCTACCACTCATGTTGCTTCTTCTCCAAGTCCAGCTGGAAGGCTAGCTACTAGCGGCCACATGGATAGGAGTGGTTTTAATCATCACAAAATTTTATTTAAATCACGAAAATTTTTTAACGAAAATTTACTTGAAAGCAAAAATGTATGAAATCATGAAAATTTTCACCCACAAAAATTTGACGCTATACGGTATGCAAATCTAAATGCTCATGGCTACATGTACATGTACATTATAGCATTGTTCTGACAAGTTACAGTAGAACATCATTAGTTTTATTTTATGCATATGATGTGTGTGTTGTATGTTGTATTTTAGTAACATTTTGTTCTTAGTTGCTCTATTGCCGAGGGGAAATGGTTGATATCATTGTTCAGTCTGGTGTGTCACGCTATCTTGAATTTAAGAGCCTTCCTAAGCTTTATTGCTCAAATGCAAATCATGAAATTATTCAAGTAAGACAAATTTCATGTTATTCTCCTTTTATTATCTTCATTTCTTCCCTCTTTCTTTTCTTCTTTTATCTTCCTCCCTTTCTTTTTATAACTGAATCGTCTCGTTGCATTTCACTTTGTTTTTTTTATCATTCACTATTTTATATTTAAGGTGCCATGTTCCAGAGCTGATGTATTCACTAGTAGTATTGTTAGTATGCTAGAGAAACGTAAGCTAATGAAAGTCTTAACATTCTGTGCTGAATATGAGAAGCATGAAACAGATTATCAAGGTAAGTTAATTGTATTTACCATTATTGCAAGATATTTATTTTTACAAATCCACCCAACAATCAATTTCACAATTTCAATTTCTTAATTTTCTACTTTTTGGCCATGTTGCACCAAATTTTAGATTTTTCCAGATTTTTATTAATTTTCAAAAAAATGCAAAAATTGTTACCCAATATTAGAAAACCAGGCTAAATGCTCCAAAATTGAAAATTGAGATTTATGCTCTTCTTAATGAAGCATAGTTTTTCCTTCCTTTTGGTCTTTGTCCCATGTCATTTGACCCATCTAGTGCCAAGTTATGATTATTTATGCAAAAAGAAGTATAAACAGATGTAATTGAGTTACAGCCATTTTTATCAATTTATCTTGCATCATTTACATGCTGCACAACAAAAAGAAAGGTCTGTAAATTGCCTTTCTTAACTTATTTATGGGCAAATTTGGTATGAAATAAAAGGAAATTCTTCATATAATACATTTTTGATAGAATCTCAGTTTTGATAAGGTACCAGGTACTGCTACAACTTTGGGAAGCCATATGTCTAATTGATAATTTCCGCAGATAGCCTGGTTTGTCAAATCAGGTCACAATTTTTAAAAAATTGGGATTCTAATTAAATACGCTAATTTCAATTCTGATTATCACTGTCACAATAAAATTGTAATATTAATCTTGTTGTCTTAGATACAATGTACTGTATATGCTGTACATGTGTGTGTGGTTTAATGTTTCTATAAATTTTATAATTGATGGCTTTTCTTTTCCTATAGAATATATTGGTCATCCTTTTACTGAGTTTCTTCAGTCAAGAGACCTTACTGATAATATCATTCAATTTATATTGCACTCTATTGCAATGGTTGATGAATCAGAGACTACACTGAATGTATGTATAATCCTTTATTGCTGTTAACTAGTTACTATGCTCTGTACTCTGTAATAGGGTCTGAAAGCTACACAGATGTTTTTACATAGCCTTGGCCGATTTGGCAATGCTCCATTTCTTTATCCTTTATTTGGTAATGGAGAGTTACCTCAAGGCTTTTGTAGGTAAATTTTGAAAGTAATGAAAGAGGGAGAAAATGATTGGATTCATTGCATGTATCGTTCACTAATTTTCAATTCAATGTTAGCAAGAGTGGATCCATAATTATTCTTAACAAAGTGCCTAGACCAATGTAATGGGAAAGTAGTCAAGGAACTGGCCTAGAATGGTTCTTCTGCCACTTCAAAGAACCTATATGTGTATCCGTGTACATTTTACATGTACATGTACATGCATGTGCAGGAAAAGTGGGATGCATTTTCTAGATGGTTGTATGCTTGTTCATATTGATACATGTACATGTACATTGTACTTGTCTAACAATTATTTTCATGAATTTTGAAAGTTGCTAACCTATCAATGGATTTTAATGTACATGTGCATGTAGGTTGTGTGCAGTGTTTGGTGGTGTGTATTGCTTAAAGAGATCAATCAGAGAATTAATAGTTTCATCAGACAACAAACAGTAAGACATATTCATTTTGCTCACTGTAATAGTAAATGTTAGAGCCAGTTAAGATTAAAATATTTTAGTTTGTGTACTATGCATGCACATATGCAATATACCAAGAGTAGATAATAATTAGAGGAGTGTCCTACTGTGCAATACCCCCTGCTTCATCACGGCGTAGAATTGAAGAGTCACATTCAGGATATTTTTAGTATTTTTGAGTAGTTATTAAAAAATAACTAGCAATAACTACTCAAACTCAATGAAAATACGGAAATATCCTGAATGTGACTCTTCAATTCTACGCCATGATGAAGCAGGGGGTATAGGCACAGTAGGACATTCTCCTCTAATTATTATCTACTCTTGAATATACAAATAAAGTTTACTTGTAATGCTATTTTTTGATTAGATTAATTGGTGTGGTTTGTACTACTGGTCAACGTATACAATGCTCGTAAGTCAGTGTGTTTGTTGTATTTGTGCAGTTTATTGTTGTACTCTCTGCAGGTCTTTTGTGGGTCCAGCTGGTATGTTAAGCAGTGGTAGTGTTAGCAGCCAAAGAATATCTCGTGCTATATTTATAACTGATGGACAGATAGATGGAATGGATGAGAAGGTGCATGTACCCACTTTCTTGTACAAATTGTTTTTCATAAAAGCGTATAGGGAATTGTGTTTAGGGAATTGCACTTTATATGTTGTACATCATGTACATACATGTATGTATTTTTGTTTAATTTTTATTTTACATATCATAATAGATCAGTTTATTGACTATCCCACCAGCATCTGATGATTCACCCGCTTCAAGAGTATCAGTGCTACAGTTGGACAGCTCTACATTAACATCTACTGAAGGAACAAGTCAGTCTTAATGCTTCAATATGTATCATTTTATAGCTTTGCATGATATATATACTGTGTATTGCAATGCTGTTGTAGCTATAATAAGCAAAGATTGCATTTTTTAGATTTACTGTAACTACATTTACAATGCATGTACATGTGTACATACATGTACATTTAATTAACTTAATCAAATTTTTGCACAATGATGACACAAATACTCCACTATTTTTTCACTTTTAATTAAAAAAATTATTTTAATGTAATATTTAAACAACACTAACCAGCTGTTACTATTTTCTTTTTTGGCACATTTGTAATGACACATCAGATTGGTACTTTTTATTTGTTCCACATTATTAAGATTGTGTTCATAAATTGAGAGTTTATGTTGTATTTTGTTCCTCATTAGATATGATTCATGCTACTTGTAAAAGCTTTGGATCATCTGCTAAAGAAGACTTGGAGTTTATTGTACAAAGATTCTTTAGTACATGTACTACTCCATCAGGTAAAGAGTGATATATTGTGTACATTATTGAAGGGTATCTTATTGTACTTTTTGACCCTTACAGTAGTATGTACAGTACTACAGAGAAATACATTATAGCATGAAAATTTTGTAGATCATAGCGTATTTTTACAATTTGTGAATCTACAAAATTAAATTTTGATATAATAATTATGACCCCTGTACATGTACATGTGTTTCTCTGTACAGTAATTTTAAAACTACAAAAAGTTTATTTATTTTTAGCAATGTTATACTATGTCCATGATGTGCTGTGATTTATAAATGTTCAATTTGTTTTATTTGGCATACATGTATATGTACATGTACATGCATTAGTAACGTACTTTTTTGCCTCGCCCAGCTTTGCGTGGACAAGGACTGGGTACTACTAGTGTTGTGTATCATAAATTCCTTGCAAAATACTTCTATCAATACTTTTTTATTTTATAGACAACAAGCCACGTCTCCTATGGTCACTGTACTATAACCTATCATTGTCTTCTTGTTCTCATTCCACTGAGACTGATAGCAGTCGTGATGTCAAAAGTGATCTACCACCTAATGTATTGATGGTGTCTGATCCTGATGATACTATATCCTATGAGGCATGCATTCATGAGGTATGTTAATGGATATAAACTTATAATTTTTATATCAGTTTACTGAATTGAGTATTAATTTTATGATTGTACTCTTATGCATGTAGATGTACATGTAGGTTGTAAAATAGCAGTACACTGGTGGCTGAAAATTTATCATTTGATGTACCCTGAGCATGAATATTTTATTTTTATGTTTTCTTGTTAGCAAAGATGCACATTCATTAAAGAGCATGTTTGTATTACAGGGGACAAATTACAGCATCTTTTAAGTTTTTGTACTGTAGTTATGATTTTATTATGCATATATTTTTACTGAAGTAACTCTGTCAGAGTTACTGTATAGTGGGAAATTTTTAGGGGCTAAAACTTGGCGAATTGCTAAATTTTGGTGATTGGCTGATTTTAATTTGGCGAATTTGTGGCCACGTGCCATTGAACATGCGTATAATGGCTCAAAATGGCGGATTTTTATTTTGGCAAATGGCTATCAAATTGCCAAATTTAATTCCGTCCAAAATTTCCCACTATACGGTATTTATTATGAAATCCCATCTCAACTTTAATAGCAAATTTTAAAAATTCTACTACATGTATGAGTGGAATCAGCTCTAGCTGCTACATAATTCTTATGTATGTATCAGCTAGGAAATGCAATGAAATTTATGATTCCTCTTAGAGCCTTTAGATAAAGTCTATAGCTGGTCTTTGGCCAACTTTTAAGGCAAATTTGAAATTGCTTTTATAACGTTAGAATCAGTTCATACATCATGCATGCATGTGCATGTACAGTACATGTACAGTATGTATATTGTTATCAATAATAACAATTAAAACAATTATTTTTTGCTATTAGAAAATGTCAGATGGGACTGCATTTTTGTTGAGTACTTTTGTTAACTACATGTACATGTAAATATGGGGACCTTCTTTGCCACTCTGGTTGTAGATATTCAGGAGCAAAATTTTAAAAGTCTTCACAGTTAATATATTTAGAAGCTTTTCATTTTTTACTTTGGCAGTTTTGAAGTACAAAAAATTGTGCTAATTTACATGTACACTTGTACATGTACATGTATTTCCTATAAAAGATGCTGTACTACCTACATGTACACAATGTATACACTGTATAGTAGAAATTACAAAATTTGAAAATACATAAAAGCTAATACAAAAATTACAGTGTTTATATTGTATATACAATTGCTCAATTTTTGTTGTATTAACTACTATAATTGATAAACAGGGAGACTAATGCTTTTTTTTATTTTGTAGGCAAAGAAAGTTTTTGAATGTCTTTATCCTGATGAGCCTTTCCTGCCAAGAATGCCTGACAGTGAAGATATTATATATGGGGAAGAGGAAACTGCTTCCTCAGACCAGTTAGCTGGAGAAACAGAAGAGGAAACCTCTGCTAATCAAAAGAATGATGAGGAAGATCAACATAATGATGAGAAAGATCAAGAGTTTGATGAAAAAGTTGAAGATACTAGTACTAAACAGAACCCCGAACAGAATGATTCAATTTGAGATTGAGAGAAAGAGTCAAAGCTAAAACAGGTTTTATTATTATTCTTTTATTTTGCATTATTGATATTTGTATCTAAATCTTTACATATATGCATACGTACATGTACATGTACATGTGTGTCTTTTGCTCTGTATCACTGGCAGTGTATAACGTATAATCAAGTACTACATGAGTGTGCTAAGCATGTGCATGCATGTGCAGTTCATGTACAATGTGCATGTACTGTATATGTATTTATACATGTAATTACATGTACATGTACATGTTTGAAGGTTTAATAATTGGCTTCATTATTATTAAAAATTAAAAATAGAAAATAACCAAGCAATGGGAGACTAGTACATGTATATTGTGCATGAACATGTTTATGTATAATTTCGATGGTTGTGCGGATAGCTGCCATCTTGAATCACCTTTAATCTCTCTTGTAAATTTTTAAAGCTTGGTCTTTCCTCTGGTTTCTGATGCCAGCACTCACTAATAAGCCGATGAACATTCTTAGGCAATGCTAGACCGTCGAGTTGTATGCGGTGCCCTTGTCTCACCATCTCCTTCACATTCTCACTGCTGTGTTCACCATAAGGCTTAGACCCATACGTTAATATCTCCCACAGTGTGATACCATATGACCATACATCACTCTTTGAGCTACATACTCCTGCAAACAGTAGCTCTGGTGCTGTCCAACGTAGAAGAATGTTAAAAGGGCGACAAGTCATTGTTCCACTTGGAGAGAAGCACGCACGACTGAAATTGCTTAACTTGAGAATGTGTCGGTACTGTGCTCCTCTCACTAGTACAATATTTTTACAAGCAAGATTGCGAAATATGCAGTGATGAGATTCCAAGTAACTCATGCCACGGGCTATTTGTAGTGCATAGGAGAAAATGGTGTGATCAGCTATGGTTTGGCTAGACTTCTTCATTCTTTCCATGCATTCCTTCAGGTTGAGCTGATACACAGGCTCATGTAGTATGCAAAGCTGCTCTGTTCCTAGCAGAGTGACGCTAATAAATTGATGAATATTGTTGTGTTGCAGTGATCGCATGACTGCTGCTTCACTCAGAAAGTTGTAAACTGAGAGAGAAGAGCCCTCTTTTTGTACTTTTGCATATACAGCTTGATGTCTATTAAAAACTCCAGTGAATACTTGTGTATGTGCTCCTTCGTGGATGAACTCTTGTAATGAGACATTACCTAATTTAACATCAGCTCTTTTAACAAGCTCGGTTTTGCAGCACGGAGTAGTGAGAGGACATGGTAGCTCTGCACTGGGCTTAGAATAATTCTTTATGAGAGATTCAAGGGTAGGGAATTGTGCCTTTTTTGAGAGGTAGACAGTGTAGTTTTTACCAGAATAAATTGGATAGTGATAGACTTGATTGTTACCCAGAACTGAGAGATAATTAAGTGTCTGCTCCTTTGCTCTTCGAATGAGGTAAGCCCCAGCAGAGAATGTGGAATGACTTGTTAGAAGCTTTTCTGCATCCTGCTCATCTATATTCTTATAGTACCATTGTTTGTCACTGCAATGAAAATAAAGACCCCTTTAAAGTGTTTTATGCTTTATGTTTTAATACCTTGAATCCAACATTTTTAAAATTGCAACATATTTGTCAGAAGTATCAAGCGAATGAGATCTTGAATCAGCAAAATTTAGTGATTGTGAATCTAAAGAAAATATGTGTAATATTATTCTTATAGTCTACAGTCTCAACTCAATATGTATATTCTTAATTTCTCAATTTTTAGATGCATTGCCTTAATTTTGAAATAAATTAAAGAACTAAATGTACATTTAGTGAAAAAGTGAAACAGCTCTTTTTCATTATGCTTATTTTAGTGTACTTTGTGAGCAATAATAATTATTGTTTCTCAAACTGACTTCGAATGGTGGGTGATATTGGTGGTAGACTTTTTGGTCTCATCAGTTGAACAGGTCGAGGAGGGACAGGAGGAGTTTCTGAAGATGATACCCTTTCTTTTCTTGCTGCTAATATTGAAGGCTGTGGAGAAGCTGACTGACTGCCATCAGTATCATTGCTGTCGCAGCAGTTTAATTGAAGCTCCTATCGTATTTTAATATAGTTGCACTCATTAGATGATAGTGTCATAATCATTCACTTACTTTTAAAATTGTTAAAAGATTGTACACATTTGATTTCTGTTTTTCTGGATGTAACTTAGATGTAAGGATTTGCTGAAGTAGAACTATTTGTTGCTGTGTGTATAGTGTGTTGTGTATGTGTAAACAATTATATGAAACAATGCACTAAACTAATAATGGGTACAATTAACCCACCACATGCTCCAATGCTAACATATTAGCCACCACAATTCACTGTAGTAATTATTGAATGTTGGACATTGTTTACATCATTGAGGACATAATGAACCCCACAACCACAGTTTCCAATGATATTATACTAAAATTGCTGTAGTTACTCACCCTTAAATCTTCCTGTACTCTTCTGTCTGATTGACTTTGAGCTAGCTTAGCCTGTACAGTTAATTCAAGTATGCGTCTCTCAGACTCTAATTCTGCTGCTAGTTGAGCATTCTTTACTTTCATTTCACACATGGTTTCTTGTAGCTGCTTCAAATCGGCTTCTTTTTGCTCCAATTGATTACGAAGCTTCCTTTCTTCTTGTTTACAGCTTTGCATGTCTTCTTGAAGCATTTTTATCTGTTTCTTGACATCAGAAATAGTCATCTCTATCTCTTCTATCATTTCCCTGTAAATGATATCATCAGAAATTGGGCGGTACAGAAGAAGATGTGAATGGTGTCGTTGTTTTGTTTCCAGTGTGCTGTGTAGTTTCTCTTTCTTTGTGGAGAGATGGGAGAGGTTAGTGCTAACTTCTTTTAGATTTTCTCTAATGTCCTCGAGGCTTAGACTCAGTTGTGATTCTTTTCTCTCTTTAAGTGTGACTGAATCCTGAAGATACATCATTTCAGTGTCATGCTCCTGTATGCTCTGACGGAGTCGTATTCTACTCTCAAGTTGATCGTCCTAAGAATCATTAAAGAAGAGACAACTGATTCGTATTATTTGCATGGTATTGACACCATGTCATAATGTAAACACTGCTCTAATTACTGGTGTATTTATGTAAGGCTGATTTGATAAGTACATATAAGGTATGCATCAGACATCACTAATGCACACAGTCATATGGATGCTTACCAAATCAAGATACACTAGAGAAGTCAATATTTACAGATAGATAGTGTATATTACAATAATTATTAGCATTACTTACTTCACTCTTTCCTTTTACTAGTGTTGGTGAATCGAATGAAGGAATGTCTATTGTGGTAGAAAAAGAGAATAAAGAGTAATACATTATTTGATTATTTCTATACCATAAGTAATAGCCAATCTCCTAGCAAGTGAACTGAATCCTGATATTTTTAGTGAACTTATCAGGCTTATCCAAGTTGCGTGACCAGTTTGAATCCATGTATCCAGCATAGCTGCCAGTCCATCTATATGAACACCATACTGTGCCTGTATTCTAAAAAGATCACATCTCTCTATTCCAAGATGGAAGCCCAGTGTGCACCAATGACAAACTTCTTTTAACTCTCTTAGTAGAACAGGTAGTTGTGGAGCTATAAGAAATATAATCAGTATGATAATTATTAGGTGCAATAAAAGCTATGTCAAATATACCTTCTCTGCTTCTTTCTTTGTGAAAGTATCTCATCAATGCTCCATAATTGAAAATTCTTCTCCTTGAATAGACTCCAAGTAACTCCTGAACATTTCTTAGTGTCACCTGTCTCAATAGAGGGTCATTAGTAGCTATATTGGGGCTCAGAAGCAGCAATTTAGTGATTACTGTAGGTGGCTGTATAGGTTGCTTTTTCGGTTTCATTTGATGAATCAGCTGCTTTTGTATTATGGCTGGTAGCTCTCCAGTTTCAGAATCTTTTACAAAGGACTGAAGGGAACGAGAATTACCAAAATCAACCTCAAAAAGTGGACAATCTCCACATTTCATCCTCCCAATGGAGCAAATATCATAGACATTCACAGCAGCCTCAACAGCCCTCTTGAGTTGAATGGGAGAAATTGACATGTTGAGGTGAGGGCAATACAGGGACAATGACTTTGCATGTCCTTCAATTTGTAGATACTCTCCATCACACTGCAGCTTTACACTAAGTAAGAACACATCCTCATAGTAGTGAGTGTGGGAATGAAGTAGCTGCTCCTCAGCCATTGATATTAGTATAGAGCTAACTGTAGCAGTATAGATTGTTACTCCTTTTTAATAGTATGCTGATTTGTCAGAGTTATGATGTATGGAATGTGCAATGACCACTAAGTGTGTCAGCTTATCATGTGGGAGTATAGTCATGCTGATAGTAAATAGAAGACATTATTAAGATCAATTATGGCATACAATACCAAGCAGTACAGATGTTTGTTTTAGATGTATTTCCTGGAATTGACTCAGCATAGCTTATCATTAATTCCCTCAAAAGGAGGGGTGAGTTCAGTATGTCAACTGCCAAACAATAAGGAGATAAAATGCATGCACACAGTTTAGCTAATTTTGACTGCTAATAATGTCAATTACAAAACTGCACTGTCCACTCATTGATTAGTTTCACATAGCCAGCCTACTTATTGACTAGAATCAATAGTATGCCCCCTCATTCTCAGAATATTGTATATTAATTAACTTTAAATTTTGCATCTGTAAACCTATCTACCAAATCTCTAATGTGTTTTAGATGCAGAGAGAGCTGTAGATTCCCTGGGAATGAAGGAAATAAGTATGAAAACTATCCACAGATTGCACATTATAGAAATGGGTTAGAAGCATATGGGTTCAAATTAAAGAAAAGCTCAGAAAAAGCAGTTTTGGGGCCCCAGAAATTTTAGTTCCCTCCCCTCCTCAGTAGGCCTTTTTAGATGCTCATTAAAGATCATAGATGAAACCTTTTTTCCTTAATTTATCCAACTCATATACTGTGTTTACACTAGCTTCTTTAACTGAGCCAGCCCTGTTTAAAGTAGGCCAGCACAGTTTCATTTGATAGTGTAAACAGTAACCAAAGTGAGCTGTGCCAAACCAGGCCAGCATGGTTAGTACAGCAGGGCCAGCTCAGTCTGGTTCAGCACAGTTTGGCCCACTGCTGTAGTGTAAATGCAGCATTAGTATCCTCTCTCCCATCTCATAGGTTAAGAATCAGAGAAAGGAGCATAATTATAATGTTATGGCCATATATTTAGGGGGTGTGTAGTGTAATCTCCTTTTCGAGCTTTGCAGGTTGCTTGTTACTTCCTACTCACATGACATATATTACTAGTATGGTGAAAGTCATGTGACTAACAAGTTTGCAAAGTCAAGCAACCTGTGAAGCACTGTATAAGCTCAAGAAATAAAATATTACTGTATATAATCGGGCAAAGTCTTTACTGGTGGTGTATTTCTGTTGCATGTACAGTCACTTGTGGATTATTGCAAACCAGCAGTATAAAAACTAACTATATAGCAATGAAGGAAGTGAAAAGGGACACACAAAAACAAAATATTAAAAAGCTCAGCATGTAATAGTCTATAAAATCCACACAAAAGAAATTTTAATTTTAAAAATAAAAAATACTCCCTCCTTCCAACACTAAGCAAAATTATTTCTGTTGCTCCACCTCCTCTTCTAATCCTCCCAATCCTCTTCCTACTCTTTTATTCATACTGTTAAGAATAGCTAACAATTGAGCCACTGAACTGCGTAAATCCTTCACCTCCTCAGTTACTGAGCAGCGTAGGTCCTTCACGTCCTGAGACACAGAACTGCATAGGCTCTTCATTTCCTGAGATAACGATCTGCTTTGATTTTTGACATCAGCTACAGTTGCCTGTATTAATTAATATGCATGATAAAAGAGGAGGTTCAGTTGTAATAGATTTCTCAATCTTATTAATTATTCCTTTCAAGAAATTATGTTTGTTGGGTTTATTGTTCTTTTTAGTAATGGTTACAATCTTTTCCAACAAAGTTGAAACTTCTTTAGTCGCCTCTTTTTATCAAGATAGTTCAGTGTCACCAACAGCTAAACCAATCTGTATAAAATGGGCTGGTCACAGTGGTCAGTGAATGGAATCAATAGAATATGAACATACCAATAAATTAAGGAATAGAATTGGCATCAAAATCACAAGCACAATTATTAATGAAAATGAAACCACTGGATACTGTACATCAGGCAAATTCATTTTATTATTCTGTCGCAATAATGAATCCATATGAAGTTCCCCCACTGTCACTGTTATGCTTTAACAGTTGTCCTCCATGGAGTGCTACAGCTACAACAGCTGTAGTACATTGTACAATTATTACCTTGGCAAATGTTCTCATGAATATTTAAAGTATAACTATGCAGATCCACAAGTACAGTAAGGCGTATTAATACAAAAATGCAGTTTATAAGGCCAGAATAATCCCAATCACGCATTCCAGTGATGGCTGGCATAGGGATCGAGTCTGCATGGCTACGTGAGATTAGGCTGCTTCCCAGTTTGGGGCATTGACTGTAATCAATTCATTCAATGCTGTATCAGAGAAAGTTGGCAACAAGTGCATAGCATTGTTCAAATAAACAGCATCTGTGTTTAAACATTTTGTAACTGGTCCTAGGACAAAAATTGGCATTGAGGAAAATGTTTAAATAACTTAACCCTAGGTCCCCCTATCAGACCTATTGGAAAGAGAAAGGTGGGAAAATGGCATTCTAATTTTCGATTTTATGAGTGAGAGACTAAAAACTTAGATCTAAGATACTCAAAAAGTCAAAAATTCAAACAAAATTAATAATTATTATTAAAAAATATATAAGAGTCTACTGCAAAAGTAAAAACAGCAATCACTATTGCATATCAACACACTGAGAACAATCAAAATCTATTTTAGTTGCTAAAGTAGTAAGTTCACATTTTTTCAATATGCCAGTTAAAGTTTTTAATGACTGTGGTTTCGTGTCAATAGTAGCTTTAATTGCAAACATTACAGAAGCACTTTTCTCATGATTTGTCTTACTGCTGTATAAACATTCAGTAAGAGTTTCAAAGGAAATGAGCTTTTCACTGTACAAGTGCATTGCAACAGCTGACAAATTGCTTGGCAGTACCAAAGCTTCAGATAGTTCAGCAAAATATTTTCTAAATACCCCTGGTACATCTTTGAAATACTGGCCTATCAGAGAAGATCATAATGAACTATATAATATTGTTATACTTTGAGAATCTGATGATACTGAAAATTTAGGGGAATGTGTTTCAGAAAACTGATCAGCTATAATGAATTAAGAAAAATTAATGTTAGATTTACCATCATTATTTCATGAACTTACCCTTGGTTAGTATAATATTAATTTTTTGAAAATCAGATTTTATTCCTTTCAACTCAACTGGATAATTTAACTCTGATAATGTATCAGAACCAGGCGTAAGTGTAATTGTAATTAAACATTCAGGAAAACGAGGAGGGCATAAGCTGCCATATTGATCAATAATTTTTTGACTGACCTACATGTAAAGCAAGAATATACTAATTTAAATGGTAATAATAATTTTACTTTTGTAGGACTTTGATGCTCTCTGACTGACCATCCTGGAAAGTCCACACAAGCATCAAAGGACAATTCAATAAATCCATTGCTTGGTTCATCAAAAGTAAATGATATTTGGCTATTAAGCCGGATGTTCTTTAAAGTATCATGAATATACTGTACATAATGTAACATTAAAGAAAATTGTACAATGTATAATAATTTACCTGTATAAGTGCATTAAGATCTTTACATAATAAAAATCTCATTAACCATTCTCTTCCTGCTTTTTGAGTCTCATACATTACTTGACCAAAATAAAGTTTTTCAGGCAAATTATTTTCTACTAAATATATCTGATAATAGTAGCTATATGTAGTTATGATGACATACCTGCTGCAAATTGTGCAGTTGATCCATCATTTTCCATAGACAAAGAAAATTCTGTAGTACTTTTCGAATGAGATGGTAAAACTGGCTCTTCCCTAGCACTTGCAGAAATTGGTGGATCTTCTGAATGTGTAGGTCCTCTATTATGGCTTGTACGACCAAGTCTCTTCAAATGTTTCATGATAATTGACCACAGAGAAAATTCTGTGACAGAAATACAACCATACCTTTCACCAATAGAAAAATTTCCTCCTTCGATTTGTTGAAACTGGTAAGGTGATGGTTGATTATCAGAAGCAGTAGCAAAGCTAAGGGAATTAATATGATCACTTGTTTCTATAGAAACACAGTGCTGTATTTTTAGCATTACTGGTTCAGAAAGAGGCTGAGAAGCTGAAATAGCATATACAGCACTAACAAACTCTGTATTTTCTGGTAAAACAAAATTTCCTCCAACAATAGCTGTGACAGTTAATTTGACAGTACTCGAAGGTACAGCTTCCTTAGGTATGAAGAGGCTTAACCCATACTCTTCCCATTTTAGAAATGAAGAGTTATCACTATTGAGCAAAAATTCTTTTTCTCCAGCAATACAAGTATTTTCAAGCTTCTTCCTCTTGTGGTGCCACTCTAGCAATAAATACATATACAGTAATGCTGTAGTTTTAGCAGTTACATGCTCTACTTTCAAAATTTAGTATTTATCATGGGCACATCATTTAACATATGTGTACCTGTCAGAGGGATATGGTAATCAACCTGAACTGCTTTGTCTTTACATTCCTTGACTTTTAACTGCTGTTCAAGCAACTCTATTTTTTCTTGTAACTCTTTTCTCAGCTTCTCTTCATCTAGTACAAATACGTATATAATTTTATTTTACTTTACATAAAGATATACCTGGTTGAGATATGAGATCACACTGAATAGCTACATCTGTTTTTCTTTTTTGTTCTGATACTGAATAAAATAATGTTATTATAATTTTATTGCAATGTCATCATAAAATCTACAGCAACATAAGAGTGGAGGGCATAAATGCATAAACACTTTCCATTAAAAGGTATTACATAGTAGTTAACAATCATAGTATTATTCTAAATGGCTACAATTCCTTGTAACCCATTTATTACAACCACTTTGATGAACATCAGTTGACTGCAGCAAATATTCTGGAGTTATGGGTATTTTTCAAAATTTCAAGAACGCATGGACTATTTTTATAGCTTGAAATGCCTCCAAATTTTTTATGAAATTTTTTATCAAATTTTCTGATACTTTAAATGCTATACAGAAAGTTTGAACTCATTCTGAGTTCAAATGAGCATTTTTCTAAACAAAACTGTTGAAAAAGCATGGATACAGACAGCATAATTAAACCAACCTAGAGTATGATGCTATAATAAAACCCCTAACTCAATAACACAATTTGGTATGCATTATGATATAAAAGTATAGGTAATCACTTACTCATTGATTCATTTAGTCGTTGTTTTGGTTCAAAGAGCATCACCACTAGATCATACACTCTTTCAGCATTTTCAGCCATACGAATAGCATCAGTGGAAGAATATACATCAACAGGTGCAAGGGGAAGAGAGTGACGGTTAGGATATCTTGAATCAAGATAATATTTCTCCATTGAAAGTACTAGCTGGGGTAGCTCTCTCAGTTCAGCAAATTTCTTTGATGATGCTATAGCATTAGCATGGGAGTAAAGGTAGTGATTTGTAAGGCTGTCAGGATTCAAACCAAATAGTTTATACATTCCTGCCTTTAATGTTTTTTCACATGCTTCATGAGCTAGAAATAAAACTTGACAGCACAAAAATTTGTCTGGTAAGTACCGGCGTAAAATACTCATTGCTAATAGATCAGTTTCTGCTTGTTTTAACCACCTATGTGCTTCTGAAGAATTAGTGCGTGGCAAAATAAAAGGTCTTGTGGATGACTCAAAGTTTTGACTAGAATGTGAATCAGATGTTTTCAGGTTATGGTGATCGGAGCTTCCAAATGTTTCTTGTGCAAATTTATCCCATTGACTGAAGCAACTTTTGGCCATACGGGAATGCAATGGTTGTTCTTCTTCAATTTCAATTGATACTGACTCTTTAACTTCTATTTGCTCTTTTAAAAATTGGAAGGCTTTTTCGTATAAATCAGCTTCACTAGCAAGAACTCTGTCAGGATGATACTTTAGATACATACGTTTTGTTGCTTTTCTTTTATCATCCTGATCTGTGATCATCCAAATCCTCTCAAGCTCATTACTTATTAATTTTTTTAGCTTTTCTAATTTCATGTGTCCACTAATTTCAGCTGCTTTACTTTCTACGTTGGATAGTATGAGCTCCTTGCATTTTAATTTTAATGTTTTTTTGTTAAAAGATGGTAATTTGTACAAGTCTACAATAGAGACATCTCTAATTTTTTCATCACTTAAATCACTGACACAAATTTTGTATCTCTGAAAAATAATATCTTCATTGCCTTCGTTTTGCATGATTAGATACAATATAGTAGCATACACAAAATTCCCTTCACTAATTTCAAACCCCACCCACTCTTCAGGGTGAAATAAATGATTAATATCCATTTCTAAATCTCGAACAATTTCTTTTGATATTTCTTTACCACGAACAATGCTATCCAATTTTTTCACAGAGATCAAATTTATGTCTGCATCATCATCATATTCCTCTAAAATATCATTTAAGTCATCATTGGTTTGTGCTGTTAGGCAATCAGTAATCGGGCGTAAGAATGTTAAATATTTTGTCAATTTCACTTGATGCATTCGAGCTATTTCTACACACATAATAGAAGCCATATCTTTACAAAAAGGCTTACTGCCAGGTTTAGCATTACTGTCCACATAGAGAGTAGAGTCTTGAAATAAGAATGGTACATTAATGGTACCAATTAGCATTTCATCAGCCAATAACTTTATGTAACAACCAAGGTCTTCTATGACAACTACTTTTACATCAGAAAAAAATTTATTGGCAAGTGTCAAAATAAATTTATCAATTTCTGTATCAATTTCGGTATCATCTACTGTAGGGCTATCAATAATTTTTAAATGAGCTAATATTGCCTTTGGAAGTACTAATTGCAAGGATGGAACAAGAGATTTCAAATTTTGAAAATGATCCATAAGATCTGGAAATTTACTAGTTTGATCTGATTTAAGGAGTAACTCTTCCTGACATACAAGGGATAAACCCTGTGGTCTAACTTCTTCTGGTAATGCAAGGCATATTTTTCTTTCAGATATGCTTTTACTTTGAGAGCTTTGAGGCACTGCAGGCAACTGAAACAAAGAGTAAGAAGATCCTGCAAAATTTAAATGGCTATCAAAATAACGTTTTAAATCTATAAATAACAGCTCTGTTGATAGTTTCATGTAGCCTTCATCATTAGGCAAATATAAAGGTGAAAGCTCTTTGGTAATAATATCTTCATCTCTAGAATCGTCCTTACACAGTTTATAAAGTTTTACTAATGCCTCTCTGACTTTTATGGATTCATTTGTGTTCAGTTTTCTGTCCTTTAACTGCTCCAAAAATTGTTGTAGTGCTTTAAGTGAGATGCTCTCAGATATACCAATAAGAAACAGGTTGTTACCAAATTCTTCCATAAAAGAAGGTAATGAAATAATATAAGGGAAAAAATTCCTAGCGTCATGATCGCTTGATATATGTCTTACTACTTGTATTGGCTTTACAAGAACTGGCCGAGATACAGTATCGTTCCTTGAATTATTAGCTGACACTGGAATGCAAGGTAAAGTGACAAGTTGTTCTAAAAATTGATTTGCACTGTTTTCAATAAGGTACCGAAAACTCTTCACAATCACAGACTGCAATAAACAGCATTGATCACATGTAATAATAATATCATATTTGCTAAAAAGACTGGGGTCAGATAAATATGTTTCTGAAACATATGCCAAGTTTCTAAAAACATCCTCTACTTGAGGTTTAATAGTAACACCAAGTTTTTTTAGTGTCATATCACAATATGATTCATTCTCTGCAGGAAATATTGATGCCTCCATAAAATGCTGTTTATATTCCTGTGATTCCATGTATTCTGTAGGTAACTTGAAAACTGGCTTTACTGTCCATACTAATTCAGCATAATTATGCAACACTACTTCATTTAGAGACGTTAATCCTGTAGATTTGTGTGGCATCTTAATCCATTCAAAATTGTCAAGAGGTTCAACTATTATGAAACTAATGCTACTAATCTCTGCCAAGAAACTTGAGTCTTCATGCCATTCTATTGCTGACTTAGAGAACAAATAAGAAGCTAACATATTAGAGGCCATTAGCCATTCTGAAGCATTTTTGATAGAAAGTGATTTACAGCAATTTTTAAAACTCTCTTTATCTAGTGTATCTTGTAAGCCTAGTGTGTGAAGAAACCATAACCATGTTTCTTTTTGATAGTCTGAGGGAACAAATGTAAAATGATCCTCAAATGCATTAAAAAGAGGAATAGTGTGGTCCTTAAAGTAAGAGACTGGTTGAAGTTTCCCATCTTTTCCCTCAATGCATGGTAATTTACATAACTCAGAGTAAAACTTGGAAGGTACATGTATAATACTGTCCCTTTCACTAATAAAATTATTGTCTTTTATGTGACTCAACTGCTCAAACCTTTCTTGATAATTTAACCTACTAAATTTAGGAAAAATAAAGCGAATAAAAACACTCTCTTTATCAACACTTTCAATTCCAAATACTTTCATGTCACAAAAACTACTCCATAATCCTGATGGGTTAAGAAATATAATATTTGCATCTGTAGCCCATTTACTATAACCAGCCTGACATACCTCATAATCATGTGATACAGATACAGTATACACATCTTTACCAGAAATACAAATAAGATCACCTTGTATCGACTCAAATACTGGCAAGGACTTCATGTAATTTAAACTTTCTGAATTATTTCTAAAATTTATTTGTCCCAGATATTTTAACAAGAGCTGAAATTTAGGAAATGAGCTCTTAAGAAGGTTAAAAATATTTTTCTGTTCATGAATATGATACAACATACAGAGAACTTTGTCAGCATCTGTTAGTTGAAAGCAGTATTTTTCAACATCTGAAGGTAATGCTATTTCTGTATCAAAAAATGGAACATCAAATGAGCACAGCATGTCACAAAACTCTACATCACATGATGATATGTCTTTAGCAAGTGGTTTTATAATTGGACGTATTGGTGATGATGCATTGAAATATATGCCTGATATTGAAGGTATTAAAGCCCATTTGCTGACAACATCAGCTTGATGGAGTTTAAAAGTATCATCAGTGCTAAGACATTGCCACAAACTTATAAGTTCCTCTTGTGTGAGTATTATTTCATCTAACCATAATGTAGCAAGGCCAATAACACATGAATTTGAATTATCAACTTCAAAACTTGAAAGCTCTAAAGAAACGTTTTCCTTCAGTAAATCATCAACAAAGGTGAAAGTAACTTTTTTGGGAGCTAAAAAATAAGAAGGACTAATTTTTGGACATAAACTGATTAGAGATTCATGTAAAAATTGAGACTGGCTATTTGGAAAAAGTCGAGTGAATTTGCTAACTAATGTCCTTGGTGAATCACTAAATACTCGTAATTGATCATCAGCAGTTAAAAGAAGTGGAATATTGACTGGAGAGTCAGGAAACTTGTATTCAATTTCATCACCCTTGTCATACTTTTGCAGCATATAATTAAAAAACTTAATAAAATTTTTGACTGACTCAAATGGAGTGTCTTGAATTGAACAAGGGCATTTTGAGATTATTTGGGAGTGAAAATTTCTATAAAACCGAAAAACTGATTCATTAGTAACAATAGCTGGATTTTCATTTTCACTATCATCTTCCTCCAATAAAATTGCTTGTAAGTGCTTAAAAAGTACATGTGGTGCACATGTCAAAAACATTCCAAGTTTCAATAATATTTCCCGAATTATGCTAGATCTATATGTTATAAAGTACGCTTGTTTAAATGGCTCTTTGTCATTATGCAGGACATGCCAATCAACATAGCACATACGAGTCTCTTTTCTTAGTGATGTCAGTATTTTAGGATTTTGAAACCAAAGTAATTTTAAAACATTGTGCCCAATTTGTTTCCAGTCATTTACTGATTTTTTAGGAGGTTGAATAACTGAAACTTCTAATTTCTTGTCAAAATAAAATGGTGGATCCCAAAAAGGAAACAAGCTGTAATATGAATTTACAGCATCATAAAAACTTGCAATATTTTCATAACCTTGACTTGCAGTAAAATATGGCTTTACTTGTTCCAAAAATTGAGCATATGACGAAAATATAGATTGCAAAAGACTGCTATTCCATTTTGTTTTATCATCTGGTTCTTCAGATTCACTTACCCAAAGAGAATGTCTATCGCTGCTTAGAATAAACTGGCCATTTATATGCACAGGAAGGTTTGTGTACCCTGGAAGGGGAAGGAAACAGAACACCTGTCCCTTAAAATCATTATGTCTTTCTAATGTAGCAGCAATGCCATGTCTTGGTATAATTTTTTTTAAATAGTTCCAGTGTCTAGAAGAATCTTTCATGTCTCCAACTCCTTGCTGTATTAACCACTCTTCTTCTGTTGAAGCTTCATGATGGAATGATTCCAGTATCAATGAATACATGACAAGATCTGGTTTCTTAGAGTCTCTGAAATTAGACAAATTATTTTTGAAACTGACTCGCTTGTGGTTACTGTCTTCAGACAAATGAATAGCAAAGCTTTGCTTACAGCTGACTGAGTTAGAATCATCAATGATAAAATATTCAAAACTAACCACATTATTTAGAAAAAGAAGAGAATGCTTAATTTTAGCAACCCATTCATTTAAATATGACTCCATTGTATCAGCAGTCAGTTGTTTAGTTTTTACTTTATCATCAATTAAATCTGATTCCATTATTTGCTTTTTTGTACGAAGTGGTAATCTAAATAGTACACCTTTGTCTAGACCATGTAGCTCATTTAGAATGTCATCTTGTAGAAAGCATGAGTGTAAATCAGACATATCATTCCAAAATTTATCATTAGTACTGTACTGTCTACCAGGTCTAGTTGCCTTAGCTCCAGATACATATTTGCAAAGAGGATCAAATACACAAAGTGTGTCTCCTCTTGTTATGAAAGTAGGGCAATCAGTCACATGATATACTACATTAAAACCAATACCAAACTGACCAATTGATTCATCATCATCTTGTTTAGAACCAAGACCTAATTTCTGAATACCTTCTAAATCTTTATCACTAAAATCTTTATCATTCCATACCAGAAGAGCAGGTCCTTGTAGTTCTTTTCCCCATTTTTCCGAAAGTACTCTTTCCTTTCCATGTTGTCTTTTGTCTAGAATTACTCTCATTTGACTAGCCTTTGCATCATCAGCATTTTGTAGTAGTTCTTTTAAAAAAGTGATACCAAAGGGATAGTCTCGAAGAATGTTTTTAAGTCTGTCAGTTAGTACTTCTTTTTGACCAAACTCTTGCCCAGCAAAAGCTAAAGTATTATCAAACTGATCCAAGTAATTGCTACGCACAGGTTTTATACCAAAAGATTCTGCTTTAGAGGTTGTTAAGTTTTTGTGCATTAGGTAAAGGTGATCATCTACTGCTGATATCCAAGATACATCATTATAATAGAGATCATTACTTGGACGTAAGATATAATTGTGATCAACAAGAACTATGTCAATCCTATCATCAAATTTTCCTTTTGCTTCATTCAATTCTAAAATTAGAGTATTTATAAATTCATGATAGTTTGATGGTAATGGTTCTTGCTTAAATTGAGTATACATTTGACCTAATGTATTTAGGAGTTTATTGATATCAAAATCACTATAAATAGCAAGTGCTTTTTGTAATCTTTTTCTTTCTGATATCATGGATGGGAGCCTGTAAAGGTAAGGGCCATTTGTCTTCCAATTTTGTGCAACATTACTAGGTGCAACAAACTCACTACCTGTCCATACAAATGGTTTATCTTGATAGGAATGTAATATTTCTTCAGTTGCTGTTGGTGGCATGTCAATATCCCCTGCAATAATGTGTGATGTGTTTGTTAACTCAATTTCAAGGAATTCATATACTGATCGACAAATTGTTTCGATATGAGAAAAAACATTTTTCATTTTAAGGAATTCTTGAGAATTTTTTTCAGACATCAAGTCAATTAATGATTGAAAATGGCTTAGTACATCATTAAGTGAAGGCAAAGTAGAAATTTTCAATAACTCTAAGCTATGAAAAGGTATCAGATCACATCCATTTTTATTTATGGATTGAATATTAACAATAGGTTTCTGAGAACCAACAATAAAACTAATCTTCCACATATTATCCTCACCAGTCGTTGCTATAACTGCTGATGGGGGCAAAACTGTACAACTGTCTCCTTTCCATGGCAGTATATATGTCTCTGGCTTTTCTAAAACTGGTAAAAAAGGAATTTCTCTGAGCTCTACAGGACACCTAGTTGTTTTAAAATACTTAATTATGTCCTTAACTCTGAGAAGTGCTTTGCTTTTTTCCCTACTATAAAGATCTTTGATGGTCTGTGCACTGCAAATAATAGCATCCCAAGAGATATCTCTTTCCATTAAGCCAAGCGTTACTATTGCTATATGTACCAAATGATTTTTGTAAAAACTATTCAGCGGGAACATTCCATTTTCAGGATCAAACATGCTGCAAAATGACAAAGGATCAACAAGCTGACGAGCTTGTTTGAGTTGCAACCCATCAGGGGAAACAGGGATGCATTGAATGTTCTCAAGTAAAGGTTTTAGCCATTCATACTTTCCAGTGCCGAAGGCAGATAGCATAATAAAAAGAATATTATTACGAATACTAAAATTTTCTTTGTTAAACAACTCAATATTATTTAAAAACAATTGCAGAAAACTTTCTTCAGTGATTATTGTATTGATTTTTATTATATTTTGTAGTTGTTCTAAATGAAGCTTAGGTAGAGCTACAACAGGCAGCTTTAGCATAAAAGCAACTTCATCAAAAAGATACGGATCATTTTCCCTAGATACTTGAAACAATGACAAAGGAAAAAATTGAGATTGAGAAAGTGTTAACCATTCTCCAGTACAAGAAGAATAGAAGAGTTTTTCTTGAGATATTAAATAAAACAGGTCTGGTAATAAACTCTCCCATGGATTTTTTGCTTTTAGGCACGTAGCTAGTGGCCACAAAGCAAAAAAGTCATATGATGCTAACTCATTTAAATCATGCATTTCAAATAATTTCTTCAAAAGAAGGACGTATGTCTTAGGTATAACAGTAGTCATCAATTGTTTGTTCCAATGTTTTTTTGAATATGAAGACTCTTTAACTGACTCAAAAGTCAATATACCACTCCTATTGCTCATAACAGCAAAGTTAGCACTAACATGCACTGGTAGACCAGTACTAGAGACAGCAAGTGGAAGAAAACAGAAGACATTGCCTTTAATGCTCTGGCACTGATAAACATTATCAGTGTTAAGGAGTTCACATGCTACTGAGGCCACGGCCAATTCACCTTCCAAATTTTCTTTTACAGAAGACATTAGCCAGTGTTCTATTTTTTCCTTACATTTGAGGGAAGTTACAGTAATGACTCTTTTTTCAATCCCATAACTCTCAATTGCATTACACTTAATAGATATTTCACATAAAGATTCACCATTTTCTTGTACTGTACTAAATGTAATAGACTTAACATTTTGAAGAAAAAGTAATAATTTAGATGCATTATCTTGTAAATCATCCTTAATTTGCTGTACAAGCTCATCACTATAAAGTGTTGAGCTTATTTGACTAGGATTTGTTCTAAAGGGCAACCTAAAAATTGTACCATTGTACTTCAATGACGAATCAAACCCAAATAAACCATGATAAGGAGCTAATTGGTCAGAACGGGCTAAAAATTTTGAACGATACTCCATTTTTTTACCTGGGCTACTATCATTACATACTGCACCTTTAAGATATTTTAGTGTTGGATCAAATATATACAACCACTCACCACTAACAAAGGAAGGTACATCAGTGATGTGATACACTGAACAAAATCCAATGCCAAATTTACCAATTTTGAGTGGTTTATCAGCTTTTGTAGCACCAGCCAATTTAGTGATGTTCACAAAGTCATCTTTACTAAAAGCACGGTTGTTATGTACTATCAGAGCTGGACCATGACTGTCTGCCATTCCTTTAATGATTAATTTTTCTTTTGAGTGTGTGCGCTTGTCATATAATATATTGAGTTCAGTTGCTCCAGCATCATCAGCATTTTGAATCATCTCTTTTATAATTGTGAGACCATCTTTATAATCTTTTAATATATTTCTGAGTCGTGTTGTTAACGATTCATGTTGACCAGTATCATCAAAGACATCCTCAGTAATACCAAGATGATCACTAAGTGGAGTTAGTCCTAACTTAGAAGACAAATGAGATATCTTACAATGTATTAAACTATAATCTTGATCTGAATCATTAGCAATATCGCAAAAAATCTCATTATCAGTATAAACTACTTCATTTATAGGTAAAAGCTGAGGATAGTTCGAGTCACTATCTACTGGCACTAGAATATCACCTACACTCATTCTATTGGAGTCTTCAACTATCCAATCTAATATAGATTTGACTATTAACCAGGCATCATCAGCACTGAGTTTTCCACATGCCTGGTCCCTTACTGAATGAAGAACTGATACAATCTGTTTTGATGTAATGCTAACTGGAACACCACATTGAATGAAAAGTTCAGAAAACTTTTGCAAGCTTGCAGGTAGCACAAATATGAATGGAGCAAGATTTGACCTAAATGATGGATTTGCTGATACAGCCACTTGGGTTGAGGCAATAAATGCTGAGAGTGCTTCTGACCATATCCATTTCCCCGAAAACATTTGTGAATCACAATAACTTATGTTTTGCAATAAGTACGAATACGTTTGAAATGCAATCAAATGTAACATATCTGTTGGTATTTCATTTTCGAGTGAAATTATTTCATGAAAGTGAGCTATGACAGCAGATACCAGATCGCTGGGTTGACTACCAAGACCTTGTGCAAGTTGACAGGGAACATTTTCAACAAATAGAGCTTGTGAGCCAGCTATAAGTGGTAGATCTGAAGAAGCAAGCTCTTGTGTTTGAACCACTAAAGGATTAAAATCATTTGAGACTAAGCTTGTGCTATGTTGAGATCCCTTCCACATTAGATTTGAAGGATAATTGCTTGGAGGATTACTAGCTACTGGTAGCCAGCAATATTGGCTAGTTTCATCATGCAAAACATTAAGCAAATTATTATGATATTTTACAATTGTGTAGAAAAGATGAGGATTATCAAATAAGTATTTCAGTACAGAGACAATTCTTAAGTACTTGATTTCACCAACATTGCAGCTAGTTGAATTATTAGATGCTCTTGATCGAAGAGATGATACAATTTCGAAAATTTCATCAGCATTGACAGATGACTTCAAACCACACTGTCTCAGAATTGGAAGATAACAGTGAAAACTTGAAGCAGGAAACTTTCTCTCACCATTGTAAAGTTGACGTAAAATTTCAATTTCTGGATCAAATAGATCTTGAGGAGTTTCAAGTGCTGGTGAGTTTAAGATTGGAACAAAAGGTAAGCTACTCATGGCAGAGGTAAGTTGTTTAGCTGCTTGTCTATACTGAGGAGTATAGAAATTGTCAAGAACACTTATCATAAAAGGAACTATACTGCTGTTGTCAAACTGCCTGTTGCAAATTTGTTGAAATGCTATCTTCTGGAGGTACTCAATTTCTTGTATGAGATAAATATGAGCAGTCAAATGTTGTATAAGACTCAAGACATTTTCAGTCACATCAATGATTAGTGGTATTCTTGTAAGTAAATCTGTTCTAAAACTGTAAGTACCACTCATTGCTATAGCTTTATTATCGCAATATGAAGTCCTAATAGCATTAATGGAAACTCGAGAGGATTCATTATGCTGAAGTGCTTTGAAAAGTGGGATCTTACAAAGTGTAGCTACTCTATTGTCATTAAGTTCAAAGCTTGACAAAAACTGCTGCAGAGCTACAGCTTCAGAGCTAGAAAGGCTGACACAATCAAAATTTGATAACTGAATGGCATCAAGTACTTGATCATTCTCAAACTGATACAAATACTGAGAGAGTTGTTTGTGTTTTAAGTGCGAAAATTCATGTGCATGAGCAAATCTGATGCCACATTTTTCTAAGCCTGATAAAAGTGCCAGTGGTACATCAGTATATTGAGATATATATACAACTCCATTTTGTTTAGCAAGTGCAGTGACACTAGGGCCACCAGTATGACACTTAACTGGTACTATAGGTTTTGATTGAAAATGTGTCAATTGCTCACTGTTAAGCCATTGCCAAAATTTTGACATTTGATCATGTGACCAATGGCTTGTGTTGCATTTTGATAGCAAATCAGCAACTTGTTCAGTATCTAACAATACAAGCTGTGTGCAACCGCTTTTTACAACTGAACAAAGTAGTGAATGTAATGTACTGTCTTCATTGTACACACTCACTAATTGGCTCTCTAAACCAGGCAAAAGACTGCTAGGACATGATGAACTGCTGACAAAAATATCATCAACATAACGCGATTTGTTTTGAAACACCTGAAAAGAATTATCAGCTAATGGCAGCAACTGAAGACCAATTATATCATGAAATGCATTATCTTGCAAAATATACTTTAAAATTTCAAATTTTTCATTTCTTGGCGCATTGCAGTACGAATGTATATTACTCTTTAAGTATGACCTAACTACAGATGGCTGCAATGTCTTGAGACTGCCATACTGCTTTAATGCTTCATAATTACTATCATTGATTTCAACTAAGTTAGCATTGCATTTAATCATAGCATATTTGACTGATGCAGGTACTTTATCAATTATTAGAACTGCATGTCTAACACTAATCCATCTCCCTCCAAAAGTATTCACAGCCTTACTATTGCTTACTAGTAACTGGTAAAATGGATCCAATATGCCAGACCATGGGGTACCATTTACTCTTTCGATGTCAGGCCAACAACTGTATACTGTGCTCGGATCAACCAGCAACTCCATCAGCTCAGAAACCAACCTAAAGTAACATGAAGGAAGACATTTCTCCACTAATAACTTGTTCCATGTTCCCTCTTCATCTCCTTTTCTTTCTTGTGCTTCCCATTTCAGAGAGCGACGGTTACTGCTAATAGCAAAAGTTCCATTAACATGAACATGAAATGGAGCCTGATTTTCCACAGGCAAAGGCAAAATACAAAAAATACGACCATTTCTAATAGGATCCTCTAAATTGATAGCTGCACCAACCCATGGAAGGATATGCTGCTTCTCTGCTAATTGCATTACATCATTATCATCACTACCAATTTGATCAACAACCAGCCAATTGTAATTGCTCACAACGCTAGCATCAACTTTCTCAACATTAAAACATGATGCATCAATAATAATGTCACGTATGCAATATTTCGAATCACCAATAAATGTTGATTCAACATCACTCAATAATTTTCGCTGTTGAGATAATCGTGACTGAAAATCTTTTTGACTCACACTGACTTTAAACAATGATACTGTATCATTGCTCTCTGTGATTTTACATATTTCAATTGAACAAACTGATCTTAGGAAAACTAATAAATACTGGGCTTCTTCCTGTAATGTGTGAAGCAGGCTGTGAAGCTTATCAATGGTGTACACATCACTGGAAAGATTAGATTCTTTGTTACGCAATGGAAACCTGAACAAGGTCTTATCCTGATAGCTTGGATTATGCTTTGAAAATCCACAAATGCCATCAAAAGGTTCCAGTGCTTCTTGACAATTATTTTTTAAACTTTTTAGGAAGAAGCCTTTACCTGATTCTCCTTTCCATACCCTTTCCTGTGGCTCTAGGAATCCACAATAATTTTGACTGAGGATAACTGGTAAGTCTATCAGAAACAAGAAACACATAATCATGGAGTTAACACTTAACAAATGAATTCAATTACCAGTTAAATCATGAATATCATAAACTCATCACTAAAATAACACCACACACACTCTTTCTCTCACCTGTAATATGATACACAGAATTAAATCCAATTCCAAACTTTCCAACTTTGTGTGGATTCTTGGCCTTTCCACTCTGCTGAAGACTCTGTATGCTTTTCCAGTCTTCTTCTCTGAAAGGAGCATTGTTATATGAAAGGAGAGCAGGTCCTTTAAACTCCTTTAACAGAAGCTGGTGCTTAGCATCACTAGCAGATGATATAAGTGAAGGCGGGAGGGTCTGTAGGACACGACAATCCAAATAGAATTTGACTTCCGTGGCTCTAGCATCATCAGCATTTTGAATGATTTCCTGAAGAATAAAATCATAATCATCTAAATTACATGTATTATTATAGGCACAAAAATAATACTGTATAATAGAATAACATCATTTTTAAGATAGCAAACACACTTTGAATATTTGTCCACTTGGGTATTCTCGAAGAATATTCCTAATCATCTCGTACAATGGAGGTCTTTTCTGACCAAAACTTTCACCAAGCAAATCATCAACATATGAACTCCCTAAAATTATAAGATCTCAAATTTAGCTAAGGGAATTCAAGTAGATACACACTATAGGGTACTAATGTAGAATAGTACATCATGCCTGAAGTGTTTCATTTATTAGACACAGCATTTTATTGCAAAGCAAGATATACATGTAAGTAAATTCTGGTTTATTTTGTCTTGACAAACACTACAATAAATTCATGTGGTTACTCCACTCTTATGACCCATTCATTACTAATTTTTAAAATTAATTAATATTATACCATTTCTTCTGATATAATCAGCAGCTGAATTCTCATCGATCTCTTCTAAAGCATCTGAAAGTCTTCCTAGAGTAGGTACTCCCTTATGCTTAACATAGTCTGCTTTCTTAAGCCATTTTGACAAACATTCTTTCATATTACAATCACTTGAATTATTCCTGGACTGAATGTCAGTCAATGTCACTTCGTCTAGTCCTAAAGCTGATCCAAACCCTTTCCAGTTGCCAAAGGAAAAGGGACATTGCTTCAAAAGCCCCAAAACATAATCCAAGTCTTCAATGTCTAAAAATTAATAAAAGGTAGAATGCTTTAGTAAAATCAAAGGGTATCAGTACCAAGGAGGCCATGCAAGGGAAGCTCCATACTTAGCTCTGAAGCTCGCTCTGAAGTCATCTCTAGCCTCTAGGCTCAGACAGCTAGCAAGTAGCAATCAGTCTAGCTCGATCATGTCATCATGCCACGGTATAGGCGTGGTTTTCCAACTAATTAGATCTCTATCTATGATCTAATTGATGTACACCGATGTAGAGTCTAGATTATTATAAACTTGAAGCAATCAGCCTAAAATCAATCGTTATGACTGTTACTCTAGCTAAACCAGTACAAATTCCAGGCATGATTGTATTAAGGCTAATATATTAAGCTAGCCTCTAGGCTCATTGCCATGTTACCTGCCAAAAATCTGATGCATTAGCCTAGGCCGGCCGAATCATGACTGATACCATTCATGATTCAATCAAAAACTCTTTGCTGTGTAGATCTAGTCAGCAAACTTTCTCTTGAAGAAATCATATACCGGTACTGACAATACATGCTATTTGCAGGATAAGTTGACAGCTACATACCCACAAACTTTGACTGAGATAAATCAAATTATTATCAAAAAAAGATATATGACAATACACAAGACTTAACTGCCATGTAAACTAGATCTATATAAATCTAACTAGTCTGAAAACATATAATTGTTTATATCAAAAATACTTAATTAGTATCAGTCTCACTGCTACCCTCAATAACATAAATAGAGCTTTCATTCATCACGCTTGACTCTGAATAGGCTGGATTTTCAGCAGATAAGCTATCCATGTGGAGACTACCATCAAATTTTCCTTTTACTTTCTTTTTAAAGACAACTATTCCAGCTATAATGACAATGACGAGTATAACAATAACTATAAAATAGAAGGCATCAAAAACATAATATTACCAACATGTAATACTTGAAATTGTGATGGCAAGTGGTGGTCCAAAGTATTGTGCAGAGTTTTCAGAGTGCTGAGCCTACATAATGCAAACATTTATGGCACACATTATTATTATGTACACTTACATTAGATGTTACTGTCGCATTGCCTAAAAAGTACATTGTATAGTTATGTTATCTTAATTAGAATATCAAAAACTTACTTCTGCTTCTACAACTAGCTCTATCTGAAGACAACACTTGGCCTGGTAAACATTCACAATGAAATGAACCAACATCATTGACACATTTATAACTGCAGTTATTACTGGCTGTAGAACACTCATCAATGTCTAAAAAAACTGAAACACTATAAGTATATATTACTATAGCTACCTGAACAAAATGCTCCACTTGTCAAAATAAAACCAGTATTGCAAGTACAAAAGTAGCTTCCGTACGTGTTTGTGCATGAATGCTCACAACCACCATTTTTTATATTACATTCATCAATATCTACAATATCGTTGATAGATAAATTGCAATGTAAATTATGCACCTTGGCAAAGATTAGCAAGTATAATAAAGCCAGTTAAACACTGACACTGATAACTTCCTTGTGTGTTAATACATGCCTGATTACATCCTCCATTACTCACAGAACATTCATTAATATCTTTAAAGTTATATCAGATAATTATATTGATGCTAAGTATCAGCAATACCTGTACAATTGTGTTCATCACTCTCTAGTTGATAACCAGAATTACAGGAACAGGTATAACTGCTTTCAACATTAGTACAAATGTGATCACAACCTCCATTATTAGATTCACACTCATTGATATCTATGCAATTTCTTCCATTTTTATATACAGCATTTAATTTCCTTACCATAACAAGTCTTGTTATCTGTTGAATTGAGTGCATATCCAAAGTTACAGCCACAATAGAATGATCCCTTTAAATTATAACAACTGTGAGTACATCCATCAGTATTGGTTGCACATTCATCAATATCTTTTTAGACAGTAAATAAAAGACACAAAATTGATACAACTATTACCATGACAACTAAAGCCAGTATGATGCTGTATAAAACCAGGCTTGCATTCACAATGATATGATCCAACTTCATTGACACAAATCTGATTACAGTTCCCATTATTTTGATCGCACTCATTGATATCTATGTATATAGCATTATTGTAATATTACAGTAATCATAAACTGACCAATACAAGTGTGATTATCATCAGCAAGCTCATATCCAGTTTGACATATACAGTGATACTTTCCAACATCATTTCTACAACCATGAGCACACCCAGATATACCCAGTGAACACTCATTTATATCTATCATAAACAAAATACTTAAAAATATTAGTATTACAAATACCAGAACAGAAGACACTTCTTTCAAGTTTAAATCCTGATGAACAAGAACAGTTGTGACTTCCAATAGAATTAACACAGGAATGTTCACAACCACCATTATCAGTAAGACACTCATCAATATCTAAATAAAGTTACACAGCATAAGCTAGATAATTCTTTCATACATTCACTTACCAGTACAATATTTTCCATTATCAGTGGACATAAACCCTTCATTACACATACATGAAAAGCTCCCAATAGTATTGATACAACTGTGATAACAACCTCCATTATTAATGAGGCATTCATTGACATCTGTTAAAAGTGATGCCCCATTATTTTAATTCATCAAGCATACCTGTACAATTTTGATGATCAATGTTAAGAACATATCCTTCTTGGCATGAACAAATATATGAACCAGCAAAATTGGTACAAATCTGATCACAATCTCCGTTAAAATTGTCACACTCATTAATATCTGTTGGTAAGTCAAAAAATTGAACTTCATAATACTAACCATTGCATGAGTGTCCATCATTATCTAGCTCATATCCTAATTGACATTGACAACTATACCGACCAAACAAGTTAATACAAATATGACTGCAGTTAGAGATACTCTCAGTACATTCATCAATATCTAACAATTGATGCTATAATTTCACACAATAAGTAAATATACCGGCACAAAAGTAATTGTTATGTAGTCTGAACCCTTCATTGCATGAACACTGAAAAGATGATTCAATGTTAGTACAAATCTGTTCACAACCTCCATTTTCACTATCACACTCATTAATATCTGCTCATCAGAAATTAAAAATTTATTATTATAATTTGTGTACCTGAGCAATTCATATTGTTTGCATCTAACGTGTATCCAGTAAGACAAGAGCACCAGTAACTTCCAATACTATTATTACACAGCTGTTCACAGTCTCCATTATTAACTGCACACTCATTAACATCTTCAATAAAAGATCAACAACTGTAATACAATGTACAACTATATTACCTTGACAAATGTTTCTATCATTACTTAAAATATAACCAGATTCACAAGTACAATAATAGCTGCCAGGTGTATTAATACAAGAATGCATGCAAACTTTATTAGATAATAAACACTCGTTGATGTCTATAATAATGAAAATAAAGTTACAAAAATTCTAATAGTAGATTAGCTAAAAATACCAGTGCAGTTATGCCTATCAGTGTTCAGTAAGTATCCAGAATCACAAGAACAATAATAACTACCAATTGTGTTAGTACATAAATCAGAACAACCTCCATTATCATCAGTACACTCATTGATATCTACCAAATAGATACAAACCTACATGTACATGTATGACGATATTTCATAAATACCTAGACATGTTCTGTTGTCACTTTTAAAATTAAAACCAGAATAACAATCACAATCATAACTTCCAATAGTATTAATACACAACTGATTACAACTTGACAGTCCTTCAAAACACTCATTTATATCTAATAATGAACGCATCACAAATACAACAGTAACATGAATACCTACCATCACAAGTTTTATTATTATCAGCTAGTCTGTATCCTGATAAACATGAGCAAGAGTAAGAACTGTTAGAATTGTGACAGATTTGCTCACAAATATCAACATTGTTCAAACAATCATTGTGATCTGAATATAATTATATTTTTCTGAAAAATTAATTTAAAATTACATCTACCTGAACACCCATGAGCATCATCATCAAGAGTATATCCATTGTTACACTGACAATAATATGATCCAACTTGATTAACACACACTTGAGTACAGCCTCCATTACTAGTGTCACATTCATTGATATCAGAACATGTTAGTCCATTTGATAATTGGTAGCCTGGTTCACAATCACAGACATAACTACCATTAGTGTTATAACAGTTGTGTTCACATAGATGAGTGCTATTAGTACACTCATTAATATCTGAAATAGAAAGTGCTATACTTCCAAAAGTGATGGACAACTAACCATCACAATCAATTTCATTATCGCTTAGTTGATATCCATTCCTGCAGCTACACTGATAGCTACCAATAGTATTAGTACACAACTGAGAACAACCACCATTACTCAAAAGACATTCATTTGTATCTATTAAAAATTAACATAAAAATTATTTTCTGATAATATTAATTACCAATGCATGTTTTTTTATTGTCCATAAGATGATAACCATTTATACAGTAACAAAGATAAGATCCATTAGTATTAGTACAGTTCTGATTACAACCATGAGTACCATAGACACACTCATTAAAGTCTACATTAAATGTAAGGAATGGATAAAGCTATACATGGTAAACTATTAGCATACCGTCACACATATGATTGTCAGCATTGAGCATGTAGCTGTTATTACATGCACAACAATAGCTACCAAATGTATTGATACACTGCTGCTCACACCCTCCATTGTTAGTATTGCATTCATTAATATCTAAAATTAAGAAAGGACTCTGTTAAAAGTATATGTGTAGCATAATAATAACCTGTGCAATTGCTTTGTGCATCCAAAGTAAATCCAATACCACAAAGGCAGTAATAACTTCCAGCAGTATTGTGACACGTCTGCTGACATCCTCCATTATTAACACTGCACTCATTAATATCTATGAAGAACAAGCACAATGCCAGGATTTAATATAAAATGAATAGAAATACCTGAGCAGAACTGTCCATTCAAAAGCATATAGCCTGAATTGCATGAGCAAGAATAATTTCCAACACTATTTGTACAGACTTGTTCACAACCACCATTATTTAAGTTACACTCGTTGATATCTATTAATGTACTAAGTAAAGATCAAAATATGAATTAACTGTAAACCTGAGCAATTATATTTA